GACAAGGGCCAAATTGTGATACTAGATGACTGGATCAGAGCAACTCCAAAACCGCAGCTCTTGTGAGATGTTCCCGGTCTGCAGTGGTCAGGACCCACCAAAAGTGGTCCAAGGAAGGAAAACTGTGAACCAGCAACAGGGTCTTTGGTGGCCAAGACTTATTGATGCACGTGGGGAGCGAAGGCTGGCCCCTGTAGTCCAATCCAGTAATTCCAGTATAAGAACTACTGTAGCTCAGATTGCAGAAAGGTGTCTGCACACACAGTGCATTGCAGTTTGTTGCGGATGGGGCTGTGTAGCCACAGACTGGTCAGGGTGCCCATGCTTACTAGACATGTGCAATTTGTTTCTTTTTGAATTGTAATGCGTACACATTTCTGTGAATTTGGATACATCCGAATTTCCTAAGGACAGAAATAACGAATGTGAACGAATCCGAATGTTTGATAACGAAATTCGGAAAGGAAACACAAGCGGGAGAGCCGTCATTTACCGCTCTCTGTATTTGTATCTCAAATGAAAACAAAGTAACAGAATATTGTTACAAAATGTAAATAATGAAAGAAGTCCAGAGATCTGTGTTATCCTGTAACAGCTTCTGCTTCTTGGAGGACACTTCCATCCCCAATGTAAAGAATCTGACAGCTGTCACACAATACAAAGTGTTTAAAGGAGAACTATGGGGTCAGTGCTTTTCCCCATAGTTCTCCTAATGGTCACGGGAGGACACAAACTAGCGTCCTCCCGTCACCCAAAGCTCAGTATACCGCGGGCTACAGCTCGCGGTATACTGGGAAGCCGCAGCCGGAACGGATCCCGACAATGCTGTCTGGATCCACCCAGCTGCGTGAGTGGCAGCGGGCTCTGCCTATCCAGAGGCAGAGCCAGCTGTGCCTGCCCCTTCTCCCGTGTGTTCTGCCAGTCAGTGCTGGAGGATCAGAGCGGGGAATCCCTGCAGGGAGCCGTGAGTGACAGTCACGGCTCTCTGCAGGGAAAGGATCGAGAAGTGAGCGAGCGACGGTATGTGAGGCTGATTTGCCATTGCCAAAAAATAAAATAAAAATTGGGGTCCCCCCTAACATCCCATACCAGACCCTTAACACGGGCAGCAACCTGGCATTGAAGGAAAGGGGGTTAGAAACAAGCGAGCGCCCACCTCCTCCTTACCAGGCCACATTCCGAAATGAATTGACTTTCAGACCCGAATCCCGAAATATCGAAACATCCGAAATGAAACAAAACTAATTTTTTGCCGGGTTACATGTCTAATGCTGACCCGTGTCCACTGCCAAAAGTGCCTACAATGAATACGTGAGCATCAGAACTAGACCATGGAGCAACAGAAGAAGGTAGCCTAGTCTGATGAATTATGTTTTTATTTACAGTACATTATGTGAATGGCTGGGTGTATATGTGACTCTTACCTGGGCAGGAGATGGCACCAGGATGCACTATGGGAGGAAGGAAAGGCGGCAGAGGCAGTGCAGTGTGATGGTTTGGCCGATGTTCTGGAAAAACATGTCCAATCCATGGAGGCCCCACCTCACAATTTAAAAGACTTTAAGGATCTGCAACTGACGACTTGGTTCCAGATTCCACAGCATACCTTCCAAGGTCTGATGGAGTCCATGCATCGACGGGTCAGGGCTGTTTTGAAGGCAAAAGGAGGATCTACTCAATATTAGGCGGGTGATGATAATGTTATGGCTGATCGGTGTATATCTGAATATAACTAAACTGGATGACACTGTTCACTTTATGGTATTACAGTTCTAGTATTGCAATTCTAATTGCTGATTAATAGGGCTTACTTCTCAACCCTGCAAGACCACAACAAATGTCATCACTTTCACAGAGCTCAGTCAGTGTGCACATAAAGTATATCTGAAGCCAAAGCTTTGTTTTAAAAAAAAGTTTTGAATAGAGTGTGGACAGATTAGAACCCCTGTCAAGTTTTTATTGCTGTCTATGTCCCGTTGGGGAAATGTACCCTCTCCAGAGAAAGGGATAAAAAAATCAAAAATGTTAGTTGTCACTTGAACAGGAAATGAAGGTAAATTTCTGGGCCATTTAGCAGGGGATTTCTACTGGCTTGCTGTTGTGTTTTTGTGACAAAGCAAAAGAAAGAACCCCAAAACCTTACATGGATTCAACATCAGTGAATCCGCTACACTAGTTGTTTTGACGATTCACTGATGTTGGCTCTACCCTACACAGCAAGTAATTAATCCCTGGTGATTTGTGCCTATCATGTTTATGCCCTGAAGAAGGTCCTTGAACCCCCGAAATGCACTGGCTCTTCTGTGTTGTCATTTACGGACACATTCTGTTATTAAACGTTTTTGGACTCTCATATTGTCTTGTTTAGCGCCCTTATTGGACTGTAAACATACATTTCCTGATGACCGTTCTGTTTAGGGATAACAACTGTTATGACATCAATTTTTCTGTTTTTTCTGTTTCTACATCATCAGCAGACATTTACTATAGAAAACTGCACAGACCACAACTAAACAGCTGGCAACATTCTTACCCAATGGTGGTTTCCAAATGAAACATTTGCTATAACAGATGATACCATAAGTGGGATACAGTGAGCAGTTATAGTGGATTGGATGACTAACTCTATTGATATTGGAGCTGAACTGAAGGCATCTAGGCAAATGGCATATAATGCATCTAGACTAGCTAGAATCAGCCCCTGCCAAGCTGGTTGCAGAGCAGAAATACGGGCACTGGTCTGGGAGAGGGATCCAGGAATACACACCGCACCCATGATGTAACACCCAATACATGTCCTGAAAACGTTCCTGTGAATGAGAGATTGAGGCACTTCAGTGATTGCATTGTTATCTCAAAGGAGCCTCTGCACACAGTGGTCCCAGACATTCCCCTGCTGCTTGGCATCAGTTACCAATGAGAGACACTGCATGTAATTTTGAATACAAAGCACTGGCATTTACAGGTCATAAATACTAGGGCTGCAGCTAATGATTATCTTCATAATCGATTAGTTGGCTAAGAGTTCTCTCTCTCTCTCTCTCTCTCTCTCAATAGTTGCCGATTAGAGTTCTCTCTCTCTCGATTTAATTGATTAGTTGTTGCAGCCCTAATAAATACCTTTCACAACATAACTGGGTATCAGAAATATAAATATAAGTTTACTGTGGTAGTTATCGATCAGCTTTAAAGCTAGTGGTAGTGACTGGAGACAAATTCTGCACAAATCTAATGAGGATGGAAAGTGATCGTGCAAGATTTATAGCTTTTCATATTGGGATAATCATGTCTATGTTCAGACAGAAGAGCTGGTGATCTGTCGACACTGAGAACTTATTGAGTTCTGCGACCGCCTGACTTCCGGTTTCGTTACAACTAAGAGGTTTGCCCAAGAAACTTGTTCTGCACGAGCGCCAGCCAAGGCATTGCCATATACACATACAGCACAGCAATGAAGTAATAAAATGAACTAGGATCACACTAATCCATCACGTTATTAATCTCATTAATCCGCTTGAGTGGGGCACGTCTTGTTTCTTGTCACTTGTCGTTTAGCTACCCCTGTGACTAGAGTCACTGTATGTGCTGTCATTGTATAGCAAAAAGTAAAGTGCAGGTTTCTTATCGACTTAAACAGCTATTTAAGTGTATAAAAGGACGATATACAGTCCATTGTGAATCATTTCATAGATATCTAGTACTCATGACAACAGATCACCATGAATTTAGAAAACAGGCTACATGTGACTTCCACGCAGTGCAGGTATGAATCACTGCCTTATACTTGTTAGCACTTTAATGGAAGTCATGTTGAATCTGTTTTATAACTTCATGAGAATTTGTTGTCACGAAGGCTACATATCTGGAATATCATATGTGTTGTCATAGGCATAGAAATACATTTGAAGGAAACCTGTCATAATAAAATCATGACGCTTGGATTGAATGAATGAGATCAAGGATGGCATCCAAGTATTCTCTCATGACAGGCTTCCTGTAACTTCACATAAGACTTTGTATTTGAAGGTTTCTCTGGATGATGACTTATCAAGATACTGATATTAGATTTCCCAGAATGCACTGCACTTCTGTACGCAGTGCAAAGACTCTTCTTCCTCATTAAGCTTTCATAACTCAGTCCTACTGTATTATGATAATGATGGGAGTCAAAGCTGGGATAGTGCGCTCATGAGCTTATATTGACGTTGAGAAGCTAATAAGAGATTATGAATCACATCTGGCTAGACTGGACTGGTAACTATGAGGAAACATTTGTGACACATCATAAGGTGTCACAAATACACAATTAAGGTTCCAACATCATATTTTATTGTCCTGGATCTTCTATCACCTTCACCAAATTGCAGAACGTTACATTCAGATTATAAACTTCTCACCATTAGGCTTTGAAACAAGGCAGAGTGCAATGTGCACCAACCCATAACGGCAAATCGAAATTCATCTTTTACCGACCTGGCAGCAACAAAATGTAATCTCACTGAAAAGAGATAGGACTCTTTCTTTACAAGTCTTATAAGGTGATGGACGATGTTAGAAGAGCTGACGAAACACGGAAGACTTACTCCAACATTAAATTAGTTCATGATTAAGCACAACCCTGATATGAAAATGGTCAGCATGGCAGACATGTGACCAGCGCTACTTAGCTAAAATGTAGCTATAATAGATAACACACACACATTAGTAGGGTCTGTGTAAAGCCAGCTTATACAGAAACTGATGACGCTTGTCCATTTGCCACATGGAAGACAATGTGTTAACGTACGGATAAGTGCAGAGATGCCAGTCCTTACAGTATAAAATGCTGCAATGCCAGTGTCTGCCTATCTTTGTCAATACATTGGGGTAAAGAAAAAGACAGCAGAATCCAGAAAACAGCATATCTTAAAAAGCACAGAGTGATGAGCATCTGCGGACCTCACAATGCTGAAAGGTGGCACCAGAACTTCTTAGGCACTGATAAACATCACAGCTATTAGTCCCCAGTCTTTCCTGCTGAAAAGGCTCCTATTGTTCCTCTTCTTGGCATACATTCCACAGTGAGCCAGAGGGAATTCACATTATTGGTCCCCTTTATCTCTCAAAGTTCCTCATGATTGATTCCTTGGTTCATTAGTCATGTCTCTTCATCCTCTTCCTCCTCATCATCACCTCCCCTGAGTAACATCTCCATGTCTGTGCTGAGAGACACTCTGTGTTCCTTGTGGATTTCCTCTCCTGGGTAAGCAGAGAACAATACATGAGCCTAAATCAGTGCTAGGACAGTGAGAGCTTCACTCCCAAAATGTCAAATATCAATGTGGGGCTGCGGGGGTGACAATAGAGGTCTAAAAGACCCGTGATATTTTATTAAAGGCCCGTCACCTGCACTAGGCCATCACACAGGGGGCTTCACAGCCCTCCTAAAAATTGCCGGGTGTCTGTTTAAACAGCCCCGATGCTGGCGACGTACACTGTACGTCGTCAGTCACGAAGGGGTTAATCAAATAAATACAAAAACCCTGAAAAAACATTTTTAAAGCTCCTTGCCCCCACGTACATATGAATGCAAATGCTTACATCGAGTGTGATGCACATGATATCAACAATTGCGTAACACATATTAAGTAATCACCGTGCATGCCAGAGTGAGAGGAATAACGCTAGTAGGGCTGCAACAACTAATCGATTAAATCGATAATAATTGATTATAAGAATAGTTGGCAACTATTCTCGTTATTGGTTATTTGGGGGAGGAGAGAGAGAGAGAGGGGGAGAGGGAGAGAGAGGGAGGGGGAGACAAGAAAGACATGTGCATTTTACTATGTATGTGCAAAATTAAAGATTGTCTCTGGAAGTTAAAGTATTAACCACTTCAAGACCAGGTGTTTATAACCCCTTCCTGGCCAGGCCATTTTTCAGTATTCAGCGCTGCAGTACTTTGACTGACATTTATTCCGTCATGCAACGCTGTACTGAAATGAATGTTATACCATTTTATTGGGGACAGATAGGGCTTTATTTTGGGGGTATTTAACAACCACTACGGGGTTTTCTTTTTTACTATATAATGAAAAAAGTACCGAAAATTTTGAAAAAAAACCTGTTCTCCCTACGTTATGTTATAAAACATTATTACCCAGTTTTTTGGTAAAATATAAAAGGTCGGGTCACGTCGGGTAAATAGACACCAAACATGTCAAGCTTTAAAATTGCGCGCACATGCTAAATCGCAAAAAAACTACCATACCCAAAATTGGCCATAGCCGACGCTTTAAGAGCTTTTACCGCTCATCGGTTTAGTGTTATCATTGATTAATGGCCCTAGACTTATTGCTCTCACTCGGATTTGCGGCGATATGTAACATGTGCGGCGTAATGGATGTAATCGTTGTTTTCGCACGTAGGCGGATTCGACGCATGTTTGCATGTGCATATAGGGGCGGGGGACTTTAATTTTTTTTTCATTATTGCTTTGATATGTGACTTTTAATTTGTAAATTCTTTTTTGTAACTTTAATTTTTTTTTTTACTTTTTTCTTTCACTTAACTTTATTGCTAAGACCCCTAATATCACCTAGGGACCCCCAGAGGAGGTGATGAAGCAGAGACCTGCTTCACCAGTTTCTCTCCGGTTTCTGTACCGGAGAGTGACAGAGGAATGTAGAAGTGATGTAATACACATCACTTCCTGCATTCCGAGGAGGAGATCAAACGGAGCTCTTCTACTGAGCTCCGTTTCATCTCCGGCCGCAGAGCTGCTGTGCTGGTCCCGGGCTCACACCGGGAGGAGCGGAGCCCGGGATCGCCAGCACCGGAGGGAGCGCACACCCGCATGCAATTACAAGCGATCGGGCGTCTCTACAGATGCCTGAACGCTCGTAAGTAAACAGCCATCGCTGGCTGTTTACATTAAAAGCTGATTTCCCGTTCGTGCGCGCCGCCTAGCGGCTGGCACGAGCGGGGCGGGATGGGACGTTTAAAAACGCCCACCCGCATTCACAAAGCCGGATTTAATTACAACGGCCGGACAGCAGGTAGTTAAAGTGAACCTGTGCTTTCACAAAACATGACAAAGCAACAAGATCACTTTATTGCCGCCTTCTCCAACGGCACATATTCCCCTTCCCTTTCACTCCTAAAAGCTATAAAAAGGTCTTATATATCCAATAAAAATTAAATAGACTAAGCACTTCTTTTAAAGAGAACCTGGGCCCGTGTTTACCTTTTGAGTGTGTGGTCCTGAGAGCAACATGCAAAGCAATACCCGCGATACAGACTGCGAACCCCAGCCAATTAAGAAGGCTCATTTTATCACCCAGCAGGTGTGTGGCCAACAGAAGTACACAGAGCTCCTGAAAATAAGACAAGAATCAGCAGTTAAGAGGCTACCCGCTGCTGGTTTATTATAAGCAGAACATTTTTATCTTAAACTTTATAATCTGTGGATCCAAATAAGAAAATTGTTACCATACTGGGACCCAAGAAGAGAATTATTACCGAAATATCAGCAAAGCCAAACAAGACAGATATAACGCATTGCGAGTGATCCTCACTATTTCTCTAAGCTTTGCTACAGCAGAGAAAAAAAGTGTTATATTTTATTTATGACATATACAACTAGTTCTGGGGTCACTTTATCTCACAACCATGTCCATATAATTCCCTTCACCTTTACGCGCACTTTAATCCCTAATACGCCTCTCTGCTGTCAAATATATTACTTTATATTTGTCTATTTATATACAAATCTCAGAACCATTCGCCCTGCGAATCTCCATTCTGTGCAAATAGAAACAACAAAATGAATGTTCTTAGTATATTTGCTTTTTAGTCAGTTATTTTCTTGTCAAATGTAACATTCAGAAAATCCAGCATTATGGCCACTATATGGAGCTGAGGAGCACAGGAAACAAATGCTTATGTCCTGCGCTACTAAGCAATCAGGAAGCTGGGCGGCACATAATGACCACCTCCCGGATTTCTGATTGGTTAGGAAGCCAGGCTGCCTAGCAAAAAGTGAAGCCGGCTTCCTAGCCAATCAGGAAGCTGGGTGGTACGTAATGACCCGCCTCCCTGCTTCCTGATTGGTCAGGAAGCCAGGCTGCCTAGGAACAAGTGAAGCCGGCTTCCTAGCCAATCAGGAAGCCGGGAGACGGGTCATGATGTGCCGCCCAGCTTCCTGATTGGCTAGGAAGCCGGCTTCACTTGTTGGTAAGCAGCCTGGCTTCCTAACCAATCAGGAAGCATGTCATGACTCGTGTCCTGACTTCCTGATTGGTCAGGAAGCCACGCTACCTAGCAACAAGTGATGCCGGCTTTCTAGCCAATCAGGAAGCTGGGAGGGGGTCATGACCTGCCACCCGGCTTCATGATTGGCTAGGAAGCCGGCTTCACTCATTGCTAGGCAGCCAGGCTTCCTCACCAATCAGGAAGCCGGACGGCACCCCTATTGGTCAGGAAGCCAGGCAGCCTCGGCATGTGAAGCCGGTGTTCTTTCAATAGAACACCGACTTCACGGGCAATCAGAAAGCCGGGTGACAAGTCATGATCCGCCACCCGACATCCTGATAATCTGAGCACACGGCCCCAGTACTCGATACCGAAAAAACAGTATCGGTGCAATTCTTTGTAGTAAGTAAGGCAGCCCATTCATTTTCACCACAGCAGACCACAATAATATGTCAGCAAGTGTTTGCGGCAGCTAGATGCACTAGGTGCATGGTGCCATTCAAAAGAAATGAAACCGCAGCACGTATTGTGTGTGTTGCAACGTGCAGGACTGAATGACTCCAATGTGTCCGATGTTCTAATACCATCACATTCTGCATGTAACAGGAAAATACACCTATTATTACCTTAAAAATGCCAGCTATGGACAGGGTGAGACTGGATGTTTTTGAAACTAGTAGGAACTCAGAATATCCCAGTCCAAAAGCCAGAAGTCCACCCAATCCAAGCGTTCCCAAAATGACAAGTGGCTCCCGAATTTCATGATAGCGGAACAACTGTTGCGATGTGGACATATGAACACCTGCAAGAGAGAGACAAACAAAGAACATCCCAGGTCAGCAAATCACTAGAAAGCTGGCAGCACACATTACAATATGACTGCACAATCTCCTTAAGGCCTCATTCACATGAGAAAAGGCCGGCATGTACAGCTCCGTGTTGCGTGCACGGCCATATCGGGCAGCTTCCTTGGAAGGACAGGTGCTGCGTGTGATTTAGTATGTAGTCCTTGTCGTTCTCTATGGGACTGCGCGGCCGTACGCCGCCCTACGCTGACCCCAAGTGCAGGTGCGTACGGGTGCGGGTGTCCCGGCTCGGACGCAGACAGCATCCATCCTGTCAGCGTACATGTACGGACGCCATCACGGACGTGCAGGGCGGGTGAGCGTAGGGCGGCGTACGGCCGCGTACTCCCATAGAGAAGGACAGGGGCTGCGTACTATTCACACGCAGCACCTGTCCTTCCCGGGTGCTGCCCGATGCGGCCCTGCACGCAGCATGGAGCTGTACGTGCCGGCCTTTTCTCATGTGATGTGAGGCCTTAGACTTAACAACAACTGTGTAATGAGAGGGCCAACCTAGATTGCATATAAACTAAATGGATTGTTCAGAAAGCCCATGGCACTGCATACAGTAGTTGTTGGTAAATCTAAAGCAGATTATACAATCAGATTGTAGCATGTGGCCAGCTTTAACTTTCACTAAACTAACACAACATCAACTACACTCAGTGACAGTATAGTAGTTATGCTACAATGGCAAAATTGATGCATAAAAGATTTCATTCTCACCTTCAATGCCAACAAACAATGGGAACAGGCTGAGGAACATAAGAGGTTGTAAGTGAAACATAGTGTCTATGGGATTCTGTAAACCTAGGGGGAAAAATAAGATATAAATATATATATGTACTGGTGAGTTTGCTATTCACTGCCTAATTTCCCATAAGTCATACACAACATAAAGCTGAACTCCAGGGAACTATGAAAGACATATTAATGCAGCTCTATATTCGTTATTAAATCATTACATGCATTTTAATGCAGTCAGTGTATGTACCTGTAGCTGCATTTTACCTGGTATCAGCCCAACACTAAAAGGTGCCCATGCACCTTACGACCATCTCAAGACTTTTGTCTTGCGATGGTCATAAGCTTATTAAAAGCTTATTAAAAGCTCGTACGATCTGGCTGAGGGGGGGGCTTCCGATGACGGCAGTGAGGGGCGGGCTTCCGATCACTGGAAACGGGCAGTGTGTGCTTGCGCGCACCGGCCCTTTCGGCAGTTGTCGAACAAGCAGGCCACTAACCCGCCCAGAATCGTACGATTCTCAGCGGGTTTTCAAGCCTGCTTGTTCGATGGAAGACGTGCGATTGTACAGTAGAAACGGTTGCACGCCTCCCATACACTGTACGATTATCGTACGTTTGCGTGATTTCCCGCGATTCTCGTACGAGTATCGTACAGTGTATGGGCACCTTTAGACTGGGAAAGAGGTTAGGAGCAAGGCTGAAAGTCAATCAGGTGTGTTGTATACATATGTGCCAATAATGAGCATGCTGATAAGAGAAGAGAGCAGCCTGTGGCTTCTCTCTCATACTTGTGATGTCATGTCTATCCGCCATCAATAAAAGGACCTTGGTGTACGGATGACTGTCTCTTCTGGGGGTGAAGAGAGGACACTGCTGTTTCCCTCTTAAACCCTCACTGAAAGAGTTACTTTTTCTAAAACCTGGAGGTCTTATTTAAGCTTCCCAAGGCCACCCAAAACCAATATAAAAAGCCTATCCATTATCATGTTGCAAAGAGCTGCACTTACATCATATGAAGTATTAGAAAGATAATAACTGCTACACAAAAATCAATCTACCAGTGAGGAGCCATTACCCAGTACTTACCCAGCTCTGCCTTCTGCATGAGGATCTGGGTCAGGGTCCATCTGATCCCACCAAGACAGGACGCAGCAAGGACCAAAACGAAACCCCTGGTGTCAAACTGCGTGGACTTGAAAGTGAACATAAAGAGGCCTCCGGAAATGAGTAATACGACCAGAATAAGGGCCGGTCTCTGAAAAAACAGGATTGGTAACACCGGTTACTGTGTGCACTGTGGGAAGAGAGTCACCAGCACATTTTAGTCTTAATCAAGGCACCTTTATTGATGTTTAATCGATCATATCACACACACAAAAAAAACATTTCGGAGCCAGACTGGGTCCTTTCATCAGGTAATGTGATATAGTGCCGAAATAAAACACATACAACTACCGGTACATCAGGGAGATCCCAAGAACCAACCAGAAAATCTATCTCCACCCTTCTGACTTCATAATGATGGTGGTTATGGTGAGCAGGTCACACAGAAAGTGTATCAATTTACATATATAGTCTGTATTGTTGGATTAATGGGTGATCCGGTGTACTATCAAAGTTTGGGACTACGTTGGAATGTGTGACGTCGTCACACATTCCAACGCAATCCTGCCCAGTTTCACAGCAGTGGAATGTGTGACCACCCATTACGGCAAGGTGACATGGTCACACATTCCAACGTAATCCTGCCCAGTTTCACAGCAGTGGAATGTGTGACCGCCCATTAGGTCAAGCACTCCAACACTTTTGTCGGCCGTTCCAGGGCAGATCGGCTCACTGCGCATGTGCAGGAGAACCGATTATCTGCCTGGAACAGCTGATCGCTCTCAAATGTCACTTCTATCGGACTTTGTGAGTGCCGCAGAGGGGGGTGATTCACAAACAGTAACTGCAATCAGCCAGCACCGCAGATGTATAAAAAAAGATATAAAATATATATCTGCGGTGCTCAGTGGCCGATTGTGACACTCCTGCAGTTTACGGTTTGTGAACCCCCCCCCCTTCCCCTCTGCGGCACTCACAAAGTCCGATAGAAGTGACATTTGAGACCGATCAGCTGTTCCAGGCAGATGATCGGTTATGAAATATTTACACGATCACATCTGTAAATCATCAATCATACACCATTATAAGTATAGGTAATTTAGCTGTCATATATAAAAGAAGGGAACCCAAAAGATTCCCGTTCACTCCCTCTCCACCCCGCACATGCCTTCCATGACTCACCAGCTCCTCCAACTTGAAGACGAGGGAGAAGAAGAGGATGAAGAGGACAGCGGAGGACTTTGTCATGGTGTACCTGGTGGTAACAGAAAAAAAACATGATAGTGATTGTAGAAGCATAGTTCTTCTCCTCTTCCATCAATGATGTAGGCCTTGTCCAACTCACAGTGACACAGTGATGTACAGGAAGCTCCAGTTGGAAAGCCCAATGTCCAGGGCAGTGGCCAAAGCTGCATATAGAAAAACAAGAGTTACAGTTCTGCAATATGCAAGCCAACACTGCCAAGAGGAAGTGGCAGCCAACACTGCCAAGAGGAAGTGGCATCTTCCACTTAAAGCCACTCTAAACCCAGGGTACTTGAATGTATTTTTAAGATTTAACTCCTATTAACAAAAATGGATCTTATTTGTGTATCACTCGGCTGTAGATCCTCAAATCATCTCTGAATTGGTGCTGACACTGTCCTTCCTTCTGGAGGGTGGCTTCTATTGTTCCCCATGGTCCCTGTGTGTGTTGTAAAGTAGCCACCTTTCCAAGCTCGCTTCTGTGATGGACTACAATCTCATGTTCAGTTTACTAATTTGTATTGAGATTATAGTCTCAAACAATTTTAACTCTGTAACCCCCAACCCCTATAATATCTGCAATCTATGCTCTCGCCTGTACATTAACCCTTTCACCTCCCTTATCCTGCACATCTATACATAAACCCCTTCCTCTCCATCCTCCCACTGTATGTGACCTGTACATTAACCCCTTCACTCCTTCCTCCTACTGTGTATGACCTGTACATTTATTATATCTTGTGCACTATTTACAAGCTCCATGTTTAAATCCCCTCGATACCGGCATGTTTCTTCATTTCCTAAATACTGCAGCAAAAAAAAAAAAAAATCAGATGACCTTGACGTGTCTACATTCTAAAAAGTACAAAATCGATAGATGGTCGCTCGCACTCCAACTTGATGCAGAGTCAATCCCTTTATTGACTGGAATCGTGTCACATTTATAGTGATGATTCGGAACCAAGTGGTTCCTTCCTAAGGCAAACATTATACATTATAAAATCTCGGGGATTTTCCTATTTTTATTTGCTAGGATTTCTAAACGAAAGTAAGAGAAACAGGCTTTTTTCTAAATGTTTGGGTCTTTTTAGAGTCTTACATAGCAAACAATTTTTAAAAAGCGGCTATTAAATACCAATAAAAGAACTATTTGTTATAAAAATGAATTAATTTTGTTAGTGTTGAGTGAGGGAGGAATTCTCAGCCAAACTTGCACAGCGCTGAAAACTGAAAACTAGTCTAGTGATGAAGAGGGTGTAACATGCTAGTACTGAAGTGCTTGATATATTCATTTTCTAACTTAGGAATCAATATACCACCTCCTCCTCCCCATGACTAACATTCACTTCCTGTCCTTACCTTCCGAGAAAACCATTACATTCTTATAATTCACATACCTGTTCAGTATTCTGCTGACACCTGCCAGCAAGTATGGGGCAGGAATGTTGTTTACACACCAAACCTATTCCCAATTTACACAACAGACATCAGTGCTGGTGACATTTCTGTCCAATATGAGACTCTCCTCCAAACCTGGCGAGGATGCACCACAAATACTGCATTCAAAAATGTATCCCAGCTATTGCACTTTGGCTGCTGTGGACTTCAGGTTAATATAAAATACACCAATGACTGCAGTGGAAACTGTAAGTCTGTGCAATCAATAGTTAGAGATATGGGCTTCTGACTCCAAAGGAGAATCTTACACATTCCGCTATAAGTCAAGGTTGGTCTGGCCCACTTCCATCACATAGAAAAATCAATATGGAGAATCGTGATGATAGAGAGGGCAGGCCCAATTTAAAGAGCACTACAGCCAAAACTTTTTTTGGCTTTAGCTCTCTATTGGTCACAGGAGTATATTTACTACGGCTGCACCGATACCGGTTTTTCTGTATCCACTACGAGTAGCGACATTGATCTTTCGGTACTTGCCAATACCGAGTACTGATACCGGTACTTTCGCTAGCATGGAGCAGGCTGCCTGCCCAATCTGGAAGCCGGGCAGCGTGTCATTACCCACTGCCTGTCTTTTTGATTGCCAGGGAATCCGGCTCCATGATGTTTGGTCGGTTCGATGCTGATTGGCTTCCCAGCCAATCAGCATGGAGCCAGCCAAACAGCATGGAACCGCCATTTCGGCCAATCAAGAAGCCGGGCAGCGAGTCATTACCCACCGCCCGGCTTCCTGATTGACCGGGAAGCTGGCTCCATGTTCCCTCACGGCAATCCCGGTCAGAGGAAATCTCCCTCTGAGCGGAAGTTTTGGTATCAGAGTACTCTCCCAAATACTCGTATCAGCACCAATACTAGTATCGGTATCAGAGCATCCCTAATATTTACTAATGTGTCACAATATAGCGGGCATAAAGCCCGCTATGTGCTGACAGCGCAGAGCCATGCTGCAGTCGGGAAGGATCCTGACAATTTTGACAGCTGGCTCTGCCTCTCTAGAGCCACAGCCAGCTGTGCCCGCCCCCTCCCCTGCCTGTCCCTCTAATTAGCACTGGAGGAACAGAGAGGAGGGAGGAATCCCTGTGGGGAGTGGTGACTGACAGTCCGCTCTCTGCAGGGAGAAGCTGTGAGCTGAGCAATCAGAGGTTTGTGATGTCCTATACTATTGGGATATTTTACTCTCCCAATAGTATAGGAAAAATAGAAGCAGTTTTGCAAAAATGAATAAATGCGCACCCATCAATAAAAGTAAAAATGTGCATTTGTTATTGTTTTGCATTGGAGCCTGCAAATCATTGCAACTGTAATCAGTGGATCACAGGAGCGACCTTCAGGCTCCTACAGACTCTCCCTCCCAGTCCCTATCCATACAGAGGTAGGGACTTTCAGTTACAGGATGGGAGGAAGTGTCAATGGACTACAAGTGTGGTGGCATCATCGCACTTGTACTCGATTGAGGACTAGGGGTCCTTCTGCCGCTGAGGCTCCATTCATTTACAGGTCCTGAGAGCAGATCAGTGAATAGCTGCCAATTTGAAATATATACAAGATCCTGCAGGGAGAAGAATCCTGGGATTCTGGTAATTTGGGGGTGAGGGGCAAGGGAGGTGACCCTGCTTCATGTTACACCCTGAAAAGGATGTACCATAAAACATAGTCTTAAAATGGAGTCAGTTGTTAAAGAAGAACTCCGGGCACAAATTGTAACAGGAAAAGCTGAGATCTGCATATACATCTGTGGATGTAAAACGCTGGATAAGGTTATGAATGCAGATCCAAAGGGCAGGTACAAGGTCTGAATGTCTATTCACCAAAGTCTATAATATACGTTAGTATAAGGAGAACACAATGTTGTCTGTACCTGTAGGGGCCACTTTTTTTAGGTAGTCTGACCACGGTAGGATAACACGCGCACGGCCGCTATAGCATGTCATCAGTGCCCGACTTACTGCTGACATAATGAAAATCATCAGCAGATGCACAAGAGTCATAAACAGAGGAAAGTGAAACTTCTGCAACAAAGAAGAGGAAACAGAGGAAAGAAAGTGTTAATGATAATAGACTTTCTGTTTCATACAATCCTCAAGTCAAACATGAAAATGCTGCATCTACATTGGTGAGTCAGGCTGCCTGCTGAGCGACTAATGTCCATGCGCTCATTCAGCTTTGCAGCAGGTTGCAGGCTCATTACATCCCTAAAGTATATATAGTTATTATTTATTATTACAGGTATTTATACAGCCGCCCAATTTACACAGTGCATTACACATTCACATCAGTCCCTGCCCTCGAGGAGCTTACAATCTAAGGTCCCCATCTCACACGCATACATACAGGGCCAATATAGACAGGAGCCAATTACCCTTCTAGCATGTCTTTGGAGTGTGGGAGGAAACCATAGTACCCGGAGGAAACCCACACAAGCATGCGGAGAACATACAAACTCCATGCAGATAGTATCCTAACTAGGATTTTAACCGGGGACTCCAGTGCTGCAAGGCAGAAGTCAGCAATTTCCCGGGTTCTGAGCATCACCTCGGCAGATGTCAGAGAGAAGTTGTACATGTACAAGACTGCAGAACAAGAGGCTGTAGTCCTGAACACAGTGACAGTCTGGGGAATCTGCTTGAGATGCATTTTAAACACAGATTATGGTACAAAGAGCGGACCATCAGGATCACGGCTGAACTCCGGGCTAAAGGAATTATTACATTTATACAGTACCTTCATTAGCTGTAAGGGCTTGTTCAAGCTGGCCCACCTGCATTGTGCTCCATATAACGCATGTGCACTGTTGTGTGTTGTACAGGGTGGGGCAATGCGTTACAACGCATCACACGGTGTGTTTGCTTTTTTACTTTTTTGAAATGTGAGAAAATGACTTTTCATTCACCTCTATGTAACATGCTGCAGCACACTGACATGCAACATAGTGCATTGCATAAAAATGCTGCATTGTTACACAGCACACTCCAGTGCACATGCATGGTGTGAACAGGGCCCATAGAAAATATGCTGCATTCTCCTTTATAGGTATTAGGGGGAATTCTAGTCTCCTTATTACATTCCCATTTGTATCTATGCTGGTGCAATTCTAAAGGAGGTCTACTAATTACATAGTTCAACCAGTCAGCAACAATAACTCTTCCATTATCATATGGCTGAATTGAAAGTTTCAGTCAGAAACTGCTCTACTGTTCAGTCTCATCGTCAATTGGGAATCCTTAGTCGTGTAAAATCCTTATTTGCAGCAGAGTGGAAATTTATCAAAAAAACGACTTGTCCAAGGACTAAAGCGGGGCCCAATCTACTTGGGCCCCGCAATCTATTTGTCCTGCTACTAAAAAATAATTTTAACCATAATCGTATTTTAGAAGCGCTTCTCATTGGTCTGCATGGTCAACAAGCCCATATGTGATAGCGTTTGGAGATGACAGGTTCTCTTTATGGAGCTTGCCCTCCAACACAGAAGATCAAGCACAGCATTGTGGTCACTCTTATGTGCAACCCAGCTTGTGGCAGCTGCACTGCGAGTACAGCGCTCCTGTCTCACTGATCACACAGAAGATTGGAGAGTCTGCTCCCTGCTCTCCATCCTGAAGTCATTTGCTGTGGTCCTGGGTCCCCCTGCTCTTCTGGGGTCCGAAAACCACGGTGGGGAAGTGGAGTGGGGAACAAGCAGGCTTCTACTGTACAGCTGCCCAGATCACTTGTACAAAACGAGCAGCGACTTCCTTACGCTACATTTAGTCCTGCTTGCCCGAACAGGGCTAAATGTCATAAGGAAAACACCTTCCCGGCGACCGGAACTTCAGGTCTGGTGTGTCGAGCGATAAGAATGGCGCACTGTTATATTTGTTAGTCAAAGAACGTATACATATAATGATAAAACTCATACAAGAGTTTAAGAATATATCATCTCTAAGGCCCGTTCACATTGAGAGATTTACCGCACGGTAATTCCCGCGATATCGCGGCTGTCGCGGGTCGTGCGTCGCTACAGCAGGACCCTTTTTGGAGCGGATTTTGCCGCGATTCTAGCTTGCTCAATGCAAGCATTTGCACAATGACAAACGCGCGATTTGCGAATCGCTCAGTGTGAATGGGGCCTAAAGGTACTCTCCAGCCTGTTCACACCATCCAATGCGTTCACAGCAGTTCTGTGCCATGAACACACTGGATCTCATGAGCAAAGCCTCACCGCGCTCTGGGGAGGAAGGGGGCGTGGTGGTGCCATTCATTTAAATGGGCGCCCTGCTCACAGTGTGGTCCCCCGCACCGGAACGCATGGCATTGCCCTGCGGTACCAGCCACTGCGTTCCAGTGCGGTCGTTCCGCACTGGAACGCATGGCATTGTGGTACCACTCAGAGTCCAAACTATTATCATTTCCCTTCAACACTCGTCTGAACTTTTAGCATTTTTTGCATTTTGTTAAACTTAAAGGGCTCCACTTCATATCTCTGCCTGTCATGTTCACGTCATTCTAATTTGCTTTGCTGGTTGTTTTGCTTAGAATAAACTAAACAAAAAAATGGAAATGAGACATTTGACTGAAAAGTCAACAGAATAATCTGCATCCTCACTGAAAGCTGCTCCCTCCCCCTGTGAAAATTACAATATGTCTACTTTCCAAGTATAGCTCGCTGCTCTGCTGAGCATTTCGATGGACTGTGTCAGCGAATCTTGGCACGCTGCAAGCAGAATATTAAGGGATTAAACAGGACGCTGCCCTAAAGTATCTCTAAACCACAGAACAAAACTGGAACACATTGCAGCTTACCCGTCCTCAGATCTGGGGGGCTGCATTCGTTTTCTCTTTTTCTGGCTCAATACATTTTCTGCAAATACCTTCTGATTGTGTCAGAAATCAGTCACTTCCTGTGCACTGGACTGAAATCTTAAACAACATCATCAGCCTTCCTAGTTCTCTTCTGTCAACTACAAAACACCTCTGCTCTAAGTCATGGAGAGCAAAGGGGGGCGTTCTGTAGTCATGTCCAAGAGTGACAACGCTGCTCCTCCATAGATGCAGTACAGTGCGTGTGCATGGTCACACTCGGACAAGTGTGTTACTGGGAGGTAAAAATGAAGGGACAAAAAAGCCTGAAAATGAATGCAGCCACCACATCTAAGCACTGGTAACTTGCAAAATAATACATTTTGGGGGGGGGGTAGCTAAACTTTGGGATCAATTTATAAACAAGAGTGGCCCTGCGAATATCTGTGAACGTTCGCTCTGTGCAAATATGCAACAAATGTCCTTTATTTTTTTTAAACTTTAGTGGAATGTTTTTTTATGTAATATTACAGTATGGCCAGTAGATGGCGCTAAAGGATATAAGGATTTATTTTGTATGCTCCTCGGCGCCATCTACTGGCCACAACGCTAATTACATGAAAAAGAAAAATCAAAAATACATTACCTTGTAAAGAAACAACTAAAGAACTTAGCAAAGGCAAATATCCACACAGAACAAATGTGCAGAACAAACACACTCCACAGCAAAACAATAGCCGCTCACACATTTCCAAACATGTCTCCGCCTAATGAACAAAGGTTTGCGGCAGCTTTCAATACAGAAAACTGTCGCAGATCTCCGCCAGATGGGACCTGGCGGTCGGGATGTGAACAGATTACAGGTAACATGGCAGACAGCTCACATGCCTCTTACTACCCAAGCAGTGAGCATACTACACAGGCAGAGCCTGCTTATAGACAGGGAAAGCCCCTTATAAGAATAGGCAAGGAACACACAGGCTGGTCATTAGAGTACACTATATTGCCAAAAGTATTGGGACACCCCTCCAAATCATTGGATTCAGGTGTTCCAATCACCTCCATGGCCACAGGTGTATAAAATCAAGCACCTAGGCATGCAGACAAACATTTGTGAAAGAATGGGTCGCTCTCAGGAGCTCAGTGAATACAAGCGTGGTACTGTGATAGGTTGCCACCTGTGCAATAAGTCCATCCGTGAAATCTTCTTGCTACTAAATATTCCACGGCCATCTGTTAGTGGTATTATAACAAAGTAGAAGCAACTGGGAACAACAGCAACTCAGCAACGAAGTGGTAGATCACGTAAAATGACAGAACAGGGTCAGTGCATGCTGAAGTGCACAGTGTGCAGAAGTCGCCAACAGTCTGCAGAGTCAATAGCTACAGACCTCCAAACTTTGTGTGGCCTTCAGATTGGCACAACAACAGTGCGTAGAGAGCTTCATGGAATGGGTTTCTAGGCCGAGCAGCTGCACCCAAACCTTACATCACCAAGTGCAATGCAAAGAGTCGGTTGCAGTGCTGTAAAGCACGCCACCAATAGACTCTAGAGAAGTGGAGACGTGTTCTCTGGAGTGACGAATCACGCTTCTCTCTCTGGCAATTCGGTGGACGTGTCTGGGTTTGGCGGTTGCCAGGAGAACAGTTCTTGCCTGACTGCATTGTGCAAAGTGTAAAGTTTGGTGGAGGGAGGATTAGAGTGTGTGGTTGTTTTTCAGGGGTTGGGCTTGGCCCCTTTGTTCCAGTGAAGGGAACTCTTAAGGCATCAGCACACAAAGACATTTTGCACAATTTCATGCTCCCAACTTTGTGCGAACAGTTTGGGGATGGCCCCTTCCTGTTCCAACATGACTGCGCACCAGTGCACAAAGCAAAGTCCATAAAGACATGGGTGAGCGAGTTTGGGGTGGAGGAACTTGACTGGCCTGCTCAGAGTCCTGACCTCAACCCGATAGAACACCTTTGGGGTGAATTAGAGCGGAGACTGCGAGCCCGGCCTTCTCCTCCAACATCAGTACCTGACCTCACAAATGTGCTTCTGGAAGAATGGTCAAACATTCCCATAGACACTCCTAAACCTTGTGGACGCCTTCCCAGAAGAGTTGAAGCTGTTATAGCGGCAAAGTGCAGGCCAACTCAATATTGAACCCTACGGACTAAGACTGGGATGTCATTAAAGTTCATGTGTGTGTAAAGGCAGGCGTCCCAATACTTTTGGCAATATAGTGTAGCTCAGCTAAAAATCCAATCTCCCCATGCCAAGGGTGGGTTGAGAAATCCCTCAGGGGTCCTAGATACCAAAAAGCACTTGCAGGGAACCAAACCCTTCCTCACTAAAACCAGTTTCAAGCCATCTGTTATTGCTGGAGCCCTGCCTTAACTTTCTCTGAGAATCCATTCTTCACCTTAAGCAGCCATTTGTTGTAGAAGGTGATCCCGATGGAGAAACAGTAATAGAAGAGGACCAGCCCCAACGTGAAGAGTACTTTCCATAGTACGGCCCAGCAAGGTAAACCCATCATGTCAGCCGCACCAGGACTTAGTGGCATTATAATGTCTAGGGGCAAAATGAACCTGAAAAACATAAAATACAAGATAAAGTCTATGACATACAGGTCAGAAAATCCATTCACATTATTACCTCCCTTGTATGACTGAAAAGCTGTCATTTATTACTAGTATACGGGATTTATAAAGCGCCAAAAGTTTGTGCAGCACTTTACATAATAGAGACAGTAGTTACAAAACATGGTCAAGAGGGCCCTACAACAGAGGTAGACAACCTTGCCACTCCGACTGTAGTTGAACCACAAATCCCATCATCCCTCTGCCTCTGGGAGTAATGCCTGTCAAAATCTTGCAATGCCTTGTGGGACTTGTAGTCCCACAACAGCTGGAGCAAAGAGGAGATGAATGGAGCAGAGGAAATACAGTGTACAATGTTATAAAGTTGTATCTCTTCATAGCACATCCAAATAGTGTTTACATACAGCGTTCAGAAGCTCCATTGGTGACAGCTGTGGCTGCATTGCTCAGCAAGTCCTGGCTGTCATTTTGACAGCTGCATGCAAAAGGTGGCGGGTGAGTGTATACAAAGGTATGTGGCCACTTGATACCAATGCTACGACTCTCCTAATCCCAGTAACACCAATGACAGGACACTATTTGTCCCACAGACACCAACAATGGAGGCGCTATTCCTCTTAGTACTCAATGGTGCTGGGGAATTTCCACAAACCCTGAGGCGTCTCCCAATGACACAATGGCATTTCTTACTCCTACTGACCACCAACCTGGGGCATTTTTTACTCCTACTGCCCACCAACCCTGGGGCATTTTTTACTCCTACTGCCCACCAACCCTGGGGCATTTTTTACTCCTACGGACCACCAACCCTGGGGTATTTTATACTCCTACTGACCACCAACCCTGGGGTATTTTATACTCCTACGGACCACCAACCCTGGGGTATTTTATACTCCTACGGACCACCAACCCTGGGGTATTTTTTACTTCTATTGACCACCAACCCTGGGGTATTTTATACTCCTACGGGCCACCAACCCTGGGGTATTTTATACTCCTACGGACCACCAACCCTGGGGTATTTTATACTCCTACGGACCACCAACCCTGGGGTATTTTATACTCCTACGGACCACTAACCCTGGGGTATTTTTTACTCCTACTGACAACCAACCCTGGGGTATTTATTTACTCCTACTGACCACCAACCCTGGGGCACTTTATACTCCTACGGACCAGCAACCCTGGGGTATTTTTTACTTCTACTGACCACCAACCCTGGGGTATTTTTTACTTCTACTGACCACCAACCCTGGGGTATTTTATACTCCTACGGACCACCAACCCTGGGGCATTTTATACTCCTACCGACCATCAACCCTGGGGTATTTTATACTCCTACCGACCATCAACTCTGGCGCATTTTTTAGCCTTACTGAACAATAGGGATATGTGTGGGCTCAGTCACACTCCCCTCCCTAACCAATCAGCAGTGGCTGATTCCTTGCCCAACTACACGTAACAAAGGGGCAGATGATTTGCCTGGGGGAGAGGTAGGTGGGTGTGTGACTGACAGTTTTGCACGTGCTTGAGCGAACTCAGTTTGCACAAAGGCCATGCACATCTGTACTGGCCACCTACCCTGGCGCATTTTTTACTTCTACTTACCACCAGCCTGGGGCTATTTTGAACTCCTATTCACCGTCAGCCCAGGGGCATTTTTAGCACCACTAGCTAGTCTGGTCCCTTAGCAGCCGGAAACACAATGAACATTTATTTGACAAGGACGCCTTTTCTGATGCTCACCATATGGGGATCTAGAACATCTTTTTAATACAGGTCAACATATCTGTAACCGATCTGAAATTCCAGCCGGCCACTATTGTTACTCTACCAACTTACCCAAACTGCGTCCACGCTTGTCACCGCAGGGAGATCCGTGTCCTCCAACATCTGTCCAATTGTGTCCTGTCAGCCCAGCCTGACACCTGCACAGATCACACAGCAGCCTCAGGTTAGAATACTTTCAGGACAGGACCCCCTCCACCCCCTGCATTGAGAGGACCCCTATATACAGTTTATTATTGTGCAGAGCCGCGGCTTTGTGCACAATGACCTGAACTCCACAGACAGCATCATAAGTGTGCAACAGATGGTGGGACGTTCGGGGCCATTCCTCCCCTCACACACAGCAATATGTCACTATACAGAGAGCACACCGGACTGGTACGTATACCAGTCCGGTGTGCACATATAATGTGCACATTCCACCCTATCAGACACCCCCATGTACCTCCTCTACAGCGATCCGCTCAGCACACAGACGTGGCTCATCGCGCGGAGCATGCTGGGAGTGTCCTAACACGGGAATGTCCTCCTCCCGCCGCCATCTTGGTGGTGGCATGTGATACTTCTCATGCAAAGTTCTTGTGTTGACACGGCTGTTCTCTGTCACCAATGTTGAAGAAAGTGTAACATTGTTGGCTTCTAATAGTGTAGAAGGGATGACAAATGCCCTATGTCCCCGGAAGGGGTCCTGTGTTTTATACAAGAATACCACTTCAGAGCTCCCAACTGTCCTTTATTTAGAGTGACTGTCCCTGTTTTTGGACCAAATCTCATTGTGCCTCATTCCTCTTCTATGTCCCTCTTTTATATGCTATGTAGATATTTATATAAGTAAAGTTGCTTATTTTGCACTAAACTTTTTTTTTATTTTACCTATCCTTCAACTTACTGTGCTGGTTAAAGGTGCAGTCCACCTTTTAGAAAGCAAATAAAACATTTGCATTCATGATCTTTTTGCATTGGAGCCAGTACAGCATTGCAATCGTGATCAGTGGATTATGGGTGCAATGCTCTGGCGCCTGCAGACTGTCCATTCGTCCATGTCTAAACTTCAGTATGGACATTCAGTAACATGGACGGGAGGAAGAATGAATAGACTACAAGTGCGGTGAGGTCACCGCACTTGTACTCCATTGAGAACTACAAATCTGCCGTAGTGGTTGATGGGTCTTGTAGTGTCTCTAGTCACAGATCCTGTGGAAGCATCTGTGAGTGGATGATAAGGCTGTACAGTCCCATCATTCATTTACAGATATTTCTATGGGATCTGTAAATGGAGAGGCTACACGTCCCGTCAGCCACTGTGGCACCAGATTAAAAAATTGACAACACTCTGCAGGAGAATTCAGGTACATGGAGGGGCGAGATGGTGGAAGAACTCTCTGTTTTGCCTGAGAAAGGGACCATGCAGTTCCGAAACGTTGCCTGTGATGACGTCACACTATATAGCAGTCATTAAATGTTGACTAGAATTCATGCTGCAGTGCTAGTGACCTTTCTTTACTTGGATTTGTTCTGCGGTGGCATCCGCTGTCATTGCAGCACCCACCCATTTTTTCAGGGTTTTTGATCCAGTCAGAAGTGCGATGGGCTCACATATTAATTGATCCCAGTGGCTATAGTCGCCAGGAGTCTGTTTACAGGGGCCTGCAGCCCACGCCTTAAGGGATATGGCACTGGCAGCAAAAGGGTTAAAACACAACTCTAAGCTTTACCGCCTGCTTCCAAATTGACTCAACTGGCTGAATTTTATGCTTTTGTGTCAGTCAGTCACATGATGACACGGGGTCCTCTTCTCCACACTGGGCATCACTGATGGTGAAAGTGGTGCTCACCATTCTCTGTACCTGGAGAGTGTAAAATAAGGGCACTATAGTGATGTCCCTTTGTGGGGCAGGTCTATGATGCCCTACACACACATTATGTACTCAGTCTTCTGGGTTGAGTGATGCCAGGTATCTTTCATTCTGGAAGACTGAGGACAACTTGTGGCGAAGAAGAGTTACCAATAGAGACAACTTCTTGTTGACTTGCAGTGTTCTGTTTAGTGCCTGGGCCCATAACCTGCTGGTTATGTGTTTAGATGAAGCAATGAGAGCTTGAGAAATGCTTAATTAAGTTTGACTTGCTTAGAAGAACGTTACATGTGAATACAGCATTATGCAGGAAATAAGACCTACCCTGAAATTAAGAGCCAGTACCATTTTTGGGAATTGCTAAAATATAAGACCTACCCCTAAAATAAGACCTAGGTGTGACCATTCCCAGGGCCGGTGGTGGCATAAGGGGGAACTTGAAGAGCCGCGGGAGAGAATCAGCGGTGCCAGCGCTAGAGGAAGCGAGGCGGTAGCGCAGGGAGCAGAGCCGCTTAAAGGAAAACTATGGGGTGAGTGCTTTTCACTCATCCTCATAGTTCTAGCCGACCTGTGACAATGAGACTGTCACAGGTCGGCTCAGTAGATCGGGAGGTGAGCGAACACATACCGGCGTTCGCTCACTTCTCGATCCTGTCACGGCAGAGAGCCGTGACAGGGGAGGGACTGGATTCCCCCCTCCTTGCTCTGATCCTCCAGCGCTGACTGGCGGAACGGACGGGGGAGGGGGCGTGTACAGCTGGCTCTGCCTCTAGATAGGCAGAGCCAGCTGTCACTCACGCAGCTGGGCGGATCCAGACAGAATTGTCGGGATCCGTTTCAGCTGCGGCGTCTCAGTATACCGCGAGCTGTAGCTCGCAGTATACTGAGCTTAGGGTGACGGGAGGACGCTAGTTTGTGTCCTACCGTTACCCTAAGGAGAACTATGGGGGAAAGCCCTAACCCCATAGTTCTCCATTAAGCCAATGTTTCCTCTATAGCGCCAGCTCCTGTCATAGGCAGAGTGATACCATGGTGTCTATTTACCCGACGTGACCCCGTCTTTTTATATTTTACCAAAAATATGGGTGATAAATGGGTGTGGTTACTGGGGGTGTGGCCATTGAGGGGTGTGGTCACTGAGGGGCGCTGTAAAGCTTTCTCGCACAGGGCGCCTAAAGGCCTAAGGCCGGCCCTGTACCAAATGCACTACGCCTGTGAGGAATCGATAATGAAAGCGCGCTTCGCTCATTATGGTTCCTCCTTTCTCCAAGCTATTAGATGGACAGCTGCCGGAGACTGCTCTGTCCCTCATGATCTTGTACTAAACAGGAAGTTTGGAGAAGCAGAGCTGAGAGAGTTGGGAATCATGAGGACTATAAGGGTTTGCCAAAAATGTAAAGAAATACTTTGCTGGGCAATGTCTATTTGTTTGATTTGGTTTCATTATTTTCAAAAACGTTTGTGAGTTTAATACTACTTTAAAGGAGAACTATGGGGTTAAGGCTTTTCCCCATAGTTCTCCTACGGGTAACGGGAGGACACAAACTAGCGTCCTCCCGTCACCCTAAGCTCAGTATACCGCGAGCATACTGAGACGCCGCAGCCGGGATGGATCCCGACATTACTGTCCGGATCCACCCAGCTGCGTGAGTGACAGCTGGCTCTGCCTATCTAGAGGCAGAGCCAGCTGTACCTGCCCCCTCCCCCGTCCATTCTGCCTGTCAGCGCTGGAGGATCGGACAGGGGAAGGGGGGGAATCCCTGCAGGGAGCCGTCAGTGACAGTCAAGGCTCTCTGCAGGGACAGGATCGAGAAGTGAGCGAGCGACGGTATGTGTTCATGGTCACAGGTCGGCTAGAACTATGAGGATGAGTGAGTTTCTCATAGTTCTCCTTTAAGCTTTGTACCATTTTAGCTGCTTGTATTTTGGATCTGCTGATCACCGTCACTGCCTGACTATACCATGCATGAAGAAAATAGAGCCGTCTTCAAACTTGCAGTTTTAATTACTTAGCCAATAAAAGGCTTCATTTAATTCTCCACTTTAAATGCAAATTACCAAATACATTTTAGGCCGTTGTTGTCCTATAAAACCTTATTAACCAAAATGTTCATACTTACCTGTCCTTGAAGCGGAACTTTATCCATATCTTTAAAATAACCACAAACGCACCTTCAGAAATGCTTAGTAATGACAAACACATACTTCTAGATAATTGCCGGCTTTGTATTCTTTGTATGCCTTATTTCTCTTTTCTTTCCCGTATTCTGGCAGTGGCCATGTTTACCAAGGGCAGATTACTAGATCTCCATTTACTTCCTTGAACTCTGGCACATGTGACTAGGGCATGTGACCATGGACATCATCTCAGGGGAGGAAAATGCCTTTCCCTGAGGTTACAGATGAGATTTCCAAGCAATGCTCTGCTGATGTAACCTTCCCAGGGTGCAATGCTTTGGCACTTACATCATGTGTGCCAGAATTGAATGAACTCTATTTGTAAGTAAATGAAAAACAATTTTTTTAAACTAATGAATGTAAGATGATTTGAAATCAGCATGCAGAGCTGCATGCTGCTGTGATTTTTAGTAAAAGGGGGGTAAAGGTCCACTTTGCAAAGCCCATTTCCACCTTTGCAGAGGTATTTAAAAAAAAACATATGCCAGCAAAGTACACATGAAGCAGACATATGCAGTCGCTGTATAGGAACACAAAAACGTACATTTTTTGTTAGCTTTCCTATTTATCTCCTCATGGAAATGGCTGCAATTGTGCTTTGCAAGTAAAGTGTGTATAGTGCAAGTGACCTCTCCACCCCCCACCTCCTATTCATTAGTATTTATAGTGGCAACCCCCCCTGGACAGTGTATTCAGTGAAAAGGCAGAGCTGGTGTTTACTGATCGTGTTACAATGAATAACAGGGAGGGGGGCAGCTAAGTCTACTTTACATCTGTGCCCAAAATCAGACTGAGTTTCCTGTGGAGAACATTTTGAATGTTTAGGCTTCAGGCCTAATCCTGTGAGCCTGCAATCCTGTGAGTCATGAAATGTGCACACACATCACTGCACCTCTACATTACCACTAGGGATGCACCGATACTAGTATTGGTATCGGTGCCCATACCGAGTATTTGGGCGAGTACTCGTACTCGCCCAAATACTCCTGTACCTACCCCCGATACTGGAACTTCTGGTCAGAGGGAGATTTCATCTGACTGGCAGTGCCGCAAGGGAAGATGGAGCCAACTTCCCGACCAATCAAGAAACCAGTTTAAGGACTCGTTGCCCGGCTTTCTGATTGGCAATCTCCATGCTGCTTGGCCGGGATGTCGGCTACATGCTGTTTGGCCAGGAAGCTGACTTCCCGACCAAATAGCTTCGAGCCAGGCAAATTTATGCATGGCCAACATAATAAAGCATCCTGCTACTATGGACACTGGAAAAGCTTTGATGTCAGCATGCACTGTTTTCTATGTGTCCAAAGCAACACTAGTCTCATGTCATTCCCAAAAGGACAATAGGACTCGGCAATAGTTTATAGACAAAGGTAGAACAGTCAATCCTGTTCAGGAAAGGATTCAGCAGGGTTACTGTCTATAAACTTTGATGTGGTGCTCAAAGGCTTTAGTGCGTCCATGGCATGGAGTTAACCCTTACAGCCTTATTCCTTATTGTTCTGCTTTTTGAAGTGTTATGAAAGATCTTCCAAAGCATTTTTAATTTTCTGATACAAAAGGAACAACAAAATCCCAACCCTAGACTGAGAAGTAGGGATTCACAGATACTAGTATCGGTACCGATACCAAGTATTTGGGTGAGTACTCGTACTCACCCAAATGCTCCGATACTTACCCTTATACAGGAACTTCCGGTCAGAGGGAGATCTCCTGGAACGTCAGGACTGCTGGAGCTGGAAGCGAAGGAAAGGAGCATTCTGGGAATTCAGCCTCCATTTTAAAATGGAGAAGAGAATCCACTGCCATCCTAAGCATGAGTCTGGAAGAAAGCGTCCAAATTCCCTTTAGGTGGCATCAGTGGTATGGATGGACTTGTTTTGTATTTGTAAGCTGACATTATATTTACATGTTTCATTTATTGATTGTATTTTTACATGTTCTTCTTTACCAGTTTCACCCCACCCTGCTAATAAAGCATTAAGATTACACTCAGCCTGACTTATTGCAGAATAGGAGAGTTTAGCTGCAATGCGAGCTATATACGGGCCATAGGGCAACCTACAGCGAGGACAGAACAATGGCTTCCAAGTTCGAAATACAAATGAAACACACGGAAAGACACCAGCAGCTTGTTATTTATTAGTAATATTACATATTATTTTGGATGTCAGCCTCATGTACCTCATCTCTTTTACATTCATATGCCCCCTCCCAATCATCATTTACAAAGGGCGAGAGTTGTACCGTATAACAAAGATTGCCGTCTAAATATATGAGTCTTCTTGTCTCCATTGAACCCTATACTGTAAACTGTTTTTAGATACAATAGTGAGACATTACAGTTTATGTACCTAGACAAAAATACCTCTCTGGTAACAAGAAAAATCGATTGTGCTTTCGAGCAGAGCACCGCACACACTGTTGGAATGAAAAGCTGCACTCCATGCTTCGAGTGGAAGGCGGCGGGCAGCACTCTGATTGGAAAAGCATTCTAAACATTAAGGCAAAAATAGATTGACTGATTTAAACCCTACCGGGCCATAAACAATATATGCAGCCTCCGCCTGTACCTATGCAGTACCTATTGAAAAAGGTAAACCTTGGAAAAGAACCAGGAGGAAGAGGGTGCCTAGCAGGCAAGAACTGTGACCCAGAAGCCCTTGCTGCTCTTGTATTAACGAACAACTGTAGGGTGTTCATCCACAGCAGCTCTGCCAAAGACAGCTAATGGATGAGTGGGGGGTGCTCATCTGGATTACACAAGCCCCTTCCCCATCTCAGGGCAGACCTTGGTCCATTACACAGCTGATTAATGAGAGGTCTTTCCCCAGGTTAGTGGGTGTGCGTGTCCTTCATGTAGATCTCCAGATCAGCCATAGTGGTAGACAAAGTCATAACTGCTGGGCTCTTTGGGAATGGGAGGAGGCACCTCAGGGATCGGAATGTTTTCCAGGTCCAGCAGACGCAGTTTCATCTCCATGCTGAGCAGAGCGTCCATGTCACTGCGGGTTAGCTCGCTGCTCATCTCCCTCCCCAGCAAAGCATTCACACCATCGATCCAGATGCAGTACTACAACAAAGAACAGAAATGCACAAGTTGTGACGTTGTGAAAACTCAATGTTCTGATGGACATAAAAACTTTCCTGTGTACTCGGGTCGCATAAAAGACACTGAATGCATTGTATGTAAACATAGTCAATCGCAGAAGATTTAAAGTCTTGGTTCTCAACTGGTGGGTCGTGACCCAAAAGTGGGTCGCGACCCCGTGTTCAGTTGGTCGCTGCATGCCTTCCACTTTTTTAGGTGCGAGGCTCCTCAGCCTCCCCCTAGCTCAGCACTGTCAATTCTCAAACCAAGCAGCCATTCAAAATGCGCTGCCCGGCTCCGAGTGTCAGCTTAAGATGGGATGGGGCTATGGCCGCGAGGGAGCTCCATCCATATGTGTATTACTTACAGCTCCCTCACATGTCCTGTCGAGGTGCCTGGACTGGAGTGACATCACATTGTGGCTCCCTGCACCTCTACAGGCCATGCAAGGGAGCTGTACAAGCAATGCAAGTATGGATTGAGCTCCATCACAGCACAGCAGCCCACACTGGACCCCAGGCTGAGGATCCACTCCAGTTCTTGTCAGGGAGGGAGTCTGGGTGGACCTTAAAAAACTCACCTCCCACCCAAAGTTCGTAGGCCCGCACCGGAACGCGCAGTACCCTAATGCCGTGCGTTCCATTGCAGTGCGACTTGGGTCCCGTCTTAATGACCCAGGACAAATATGGATCCCGAGGTTACACAGGTTGAGAAATACTGATTTAAAGGCTAACTGTACCTTTAAGACAAAACTCTTATATTATCCTCCTCCTAAATATTACAGCATATAATACAGACACTTCAGAGGCAGAAAAAATATTGTTATGCTCATCACAGCCTGCCGACTTCCATGCAATGACCCCAGGCTTTGGGTTCTGTGATCAGCACTGGAAGGATCCTGGAGCAGCATTTTCTCCAGGGAAGGACAAGACAATTTCTTAATGCAGCAGAATCACATAATTACCTCATATTTATTTGGTGCAATAAAGTTTAGAGTCTCATCTGGGTCATACAGTATGGAAAAGGCCAATTCCAAAACCTCCTATAACAGAAAAGAGTATTCAGAATGGAATTTGTGAACAAGTGAGTAAGCAGAATCATCAATCATTTGTATTCATTCCCATATACTGTATATTCTGCACAGTTATAATAATCCACTACGGAATAGTCAGATCTTTGCTTAGCCCTGTTATGATGTTCTTTTTAAAATCAAATCAGGATCACTTTAATGATTTCTACGCCCCTGCATGCATTGCTTCCCTTTTCATTTAAAGACACAATCAAGCTACTGGGACTTTAGCATTTTGTTCTATAGAGATCACATGGGACAGGATAGACGACACACAGCAAAGGTGGAAAGTTATGAACAGGTGGAAAATGGTTTGCAAATATTTAATAGAAGGTGAATTGGGCTTTAATGAGTTTCCGGTGACCTTGTTCTGCTTCAGTGCACTCTTCTCCTTCATATGAGGACAGTCTTTTCCAGTAAGCACGGCCTTGATTTCGGCGACTGGGACTAGAAGAAACACACAAATGATGAGTGCATCGTGAGCACATGTGGATTTATTTAAAACTCAGCTCCAAACATGTCGATAAATACATAGCTGAAATACACATACATATCTACATGGGTTTACCGGCCCAAAAACATGTAATTCTGTTCAGCTCCTCTAATGATTCAGAATAGGGCTGCAACAACTAATCGATAATAACGAGTTGTCAACGATTTTCATTCTCGATTAGTTGAGTCTGATTAGTGGATGTAGCTCAACCGCTGCTCTCCTTCCCGCTGCAGTCTGCCACCTCCGATCACGCTGCTGTCCCCCGCTTGTATCGGCAGATGCAGCGGGCATCGGAGAAGACACAGACCGGCTGTCAGGTGTCGGGGCGAGAGAGGGGAGGCAGGTCAGGTGCAGTGCTGCTAGATGGGTCGGAGAGGCTCAGAGGCAATGGGTGTATGCTATAGCCAGTTTGCTATTGCTCCTTCTTCACTGTGCCGCCCTGCCCATCACTGTACAATCTTTTCACTGCAGATGTACGCTGCTTTGCCTATTTATTCCTATGGCTGGTCCTTACTGCTCAGGATGACTGTGGGTCAAGTATGGACTAGCCATAGGAATGACTGCAGTGTGCGGCGCACATACCCAGTAGGAGATTTCCAGAGCCACAAAGTGAACCTGGGAGCAGGGCTGAAGGTAAGCATTTTGGTAGGTAGCTGGCATTCAGGGGCTGGAGAGACCAGTCAAGGAAGGGTGGGAGGAACCATTTAAAGAACTTTAATGATTGTTTAATTAATACATAACTGGAAGTCAGCTTGAAAAAGTCAAAGCAAAAAAAATGACGCTGATTATGTGGAAATAAAAAAAGAGAAACCTGATAAAAGATAAATTCTGCATGAGTGATTTGGACTACTGCAATTGCTCTATGACTAGCCCGCTACTGACAAAGAAATTAAGTCATCCAAGAAAAAGGGCAAAATGTAGTAAATCAAGTGTTTCAAGTTCTTACTCTTCTCTTGCAGTGACTCGTATGGCACCTCTCCTTGTGCATTCTCCTCCAAGTCTCCATAGTGCAAAACCTTGTGGTTAAGGGCCAAGCGGCAGAACCAAAACCTCTCTGAAAGATATGAAGCCATGAGCATGGATTCAAAGGGGGGAACACTGGACCTTAGCAACTCGCATAAGAACCCAAAGCAAAACTCCAGGCAAAACAAATATTATCTAAACACACGAGGCTTGTATAGTCTTACTTGAATCTTGGTGTGCTTTGTGTATATTTACAGTGCAAAAGTGTTCTATAATAAAGACCGGTCACTGCTGCTCTCTCTCCCCTGGCGGAGGGTGACTGGTCTTGTGTCCACCCCTCTTGTAGTTTTCAGCAGAAAACCTGTAGCGGGTGGAGCCTGTTAGGTCCCTCCCACATCTCTGCTCCTGGCACACTATGTCCAGCATAGTGATGATGTCACTGCGCTTTTTAACAAGGCAATATCTCGGTTTGGTGCACACAAAGTGGATTTATCTCCTTTGTTGCTATTAATGAAGATATTTAAATGAAATTTTTTGTGCCTGGAGTTCAGCTTCAAGTCATAGTCACATTCCTCATACAAAGTGGTTACCTTGCCTTCTGCGGTTTCCAATCTTACGAAAGCTGCTTCCTTCACACAGGCGGTTCAGCCGCTGCTGTTTAATTAATTCCAAAATCTCGGGTTGAATTTTCTCACGTAGTTCCCTGAACAAAAAAATGTAAATAAAAAAATGAAAAGGAGCATCAAGGAAAAGTGAAAGGTGCAATAATTGGGCCTTAAAACACACTGGAGCTGAAGTATAAAGACTGGAGGGAAGAAGCGTATGTGTTACAAGAACCAACCAGATTTGAGCATTCATGGATTTTATTTTTAATTAAGGACAAGGAAAATAAAAAGAGTGCCATTGCTGACCTGCTGAAAATGCCTTGTGCCCAGCTGGCATGCTAATCCTCTTGACTTTCATGCATTTTTGAGCTGCTGAGCAAGAGCGCAAGTATGCAGGTCAGAACTCCTCACCAGCATACCTGTTCCAGTTCAGTGACTTACAATATACTGAAGCCAGATCAGCAACCAAACAGCCACATAAATAGCATTACTTAGAACAGCGTTTCTCAATATTTTTTCAGTCATGGCACCGTTTAATAGTATGCAAAATCTCAATGGCATCCCAGTCTAAAATGTAAGGGGGGGACCCCACGCAGAAACACATGAAAAAGTTGGGTTCCATCCTTTGCCTCAAAGTCCTCCCTTCAAATCAAGAGCCTCCCTTATCACATCACAATTCTCCGTTTTATACTAGAAGTTCCTCCTTTCACATCAGGAGCCGCCCCCCCCCTATACATCAGAAGTCCCCTTTCATACCAGAATTCCTCCTTTTACACCAAAGTCCCCCATTCACATCAGAATCCTGCCATCACAAAATTCTAAGGCACCCCTGAGGAAGCCAGAAGGCACCGCAGTGTGCCACGGCACCCTGGTTGAGAAAGGCCGATTAAGAAAATGTCAGGATGATAGGTTTCCTTGTACTGTTGTTTTTTTTTTCTTTTTACAAAAAAGTAAAAAAAGCCTTTTTTTGGCTATACTTCTATTTTAGGTCACACGGGTACATTTGCCTATTATCGACTGACAGGGCAGAGCAGAGTTGTGGTCATGAAGGATATTGTTAGGATCCACCCTGGCTGCCTGTCAACCCATCCCTGGCCTGTTGCTCCAGCCAGCACTGGAGGAGCAGAAAGGAGAGGAGGGGATCCCTGCAGAGGGCAGTGACTGACAGTCACTGTCTTGCACTAGGAGCCACGACTGAGAGCTGACTGATAAGTGGTCACATGACCGGTCAGCACTCGGTCTTAGAGCTGGCGGAGGATCCCACAATGCTCTATGCATAGGGGAGAGTATATTTTGATCTTTTTACATCCATCTTTAGGAATAAACACATGTATAGTTAAAGGACATCCCACACCACTCTAAGCATTGTTTTACTCTCCCTGTACTTCCCCTCTAAAGGACATTCTGTCATGAGAACAATATGCTGGCTACTACTGCTGTATTGCTCTGCAAATGCCAGTTGCTGGCTGTCATGCCTTGGCTTTAGCATTGTCTGCCAATAAATAAAAATTTTTAAAAGGAAATCAGCAATGGCAACCTCCATGACAGAGCAACTTTAAGCATGGATTCTAAGGCGCTGATGTTGGAAGTCTTGTCTGCGACACTCTCGGTAGGGAATAAAAAGTTTAGTACCATGGTACGGTCTTACTTTGCATTTTTAAGTGTTACATTACTGTAGAAGATACAAATACTATATGATATTTTCAGCTTTATATAATCACTTGGTTTTAATACACATAGCGCAGAGCTTTTGTTAAATGATTCTTGCTAGATAGATGCCAGTTGGAATCTGACTGGTCACTTGGGAATAGAAATGTAAGAGCTGTCGTTCCAGACTTTGTATTTAAAAAGAAAATGTGCATGCTCCAGGGCTAAGGGCTAGTGCACACCAAGCGCGGAGCAGGTCCAGAGCAGAGCAGGTGCAGACCGGATCAAAACTGCGTATTTTTAGCTCCAGTTCACATCGCAGCGTGCAGATCCAGAGCAGGTAAAAAAACTGCAACAGGCCCTATTTTACCTGCTCTGGATCTGCAAACACATAAAAAACGCATGCAAATGCCTGGAACGCACTGAAAGCCCATGTTAAACTAAAAAAAAAAAAGAAGCCAAAAACGCATCTAAAAGACTAGCGTGCGTGTGCAGAAACCTGACCGGATCTGCTCTGCATTTGGTGTGAACAAGGCCTAACAGTGACTTTACTACTTAGTAACTCAAATGCCTGAAGTAAGCACGTACCCAGTTAAGTCTCCATTTTTTAAAACACACGCACCAGGAAGATTTACCTGCATAATTGGTGAATGTCAGATTTACTGCTTTTTTACAAATATATCCCTAAGTTACATACACAATAGGCGGGGACTGGAAGTCGTCCTGGCTCATCCTCTCAGACTGCCGAAGCCTCAAGATTTCTGTGTAGCTCAGGACGCGCAGTTTGTTCTTAAGCTGCTCCAGAGAGTTCGGTCTGGAGGGCAAAGCACGGGTAATCTGCTCCCTCACCACTTGCATCACCTGCAATACAAAAGCAAAGCTGGAGTCAGAATTAAAAGGAAACTAGGTTGAATGGAGGAAGGTACAACCACCAAAAAGTGGAGCTTGGTGCGCTGAGTTAGCCTTGGGCTTCCATATATCTTGGATACTCCACCGAGTATGCATCCAAGACCTTCCTGTTATTACTTTCAACTCTGTTCATGTCCACCCTAGCGTTTTGTGTGTTCCTGACAACCTTTCTGCATTTCTCCCGTTGCATTCTCCATAAAGTCAAAAATTCAACACGGATTGTGGGAACCCCTAACAATGGGCAGAGCAGTAAAACTCAAGAGCAGAGATCTCACTAATAGAGTTCCCAGAGATATAAAAATGGTCAAGTGGATTGACGCCAGAAACTACCTAAAATATCAGCTTTGGGTGGAATGAATCATTAACGTGTATTCTAAAGTCTGCCAGACTTGACTGTATAAATGGCTGGAATACCAAAGAATGTTACTCTTCATACAGACCAGTACCTTGTTAAAGTCTTCAGCAGTAGCTCTCATCTCCTTCCAGGTTTTGTTAACCAACTGGATGCAGATACAAAAGAATTCTTCAAATGCCCTCTCATGAGTAAAGAACATGGGGTGGTAATCGTTTCGCCCCTCGTTAGCTGCAAAACAGACAAAAAAAAGTTCCTAAATACACTGACAGGGGACTAGGCATGACATCCAGCATAGCAATAAATGAGAAGTGTTGCTAGAGAACGTCATACTTACGCAATTCTCCGACATGAAGTATCTCGCATAACATCTTTGTCAGTTCAATGGCGCTGCGTCCAAATGGACATTCGTGCTTATCTTCCCTACTGCTATTCTCCAACACAATCTACAGAACACCAAAGTGTGATAAAAAGAAAATTTTATGGTTCACACAGGTAGACAAGAGAAATGCACTCAAATTCAAATGTGGAATACAAGTGAGCGAGAAGAAAATATTTTTGGAAAAGTAGAATGTGTCAGAAGAATAATGGGGGGGGGGGACGAGGGGGATTTATCAAAACTGAGGCAGACAAAATCTGGAGCAGCTCTGCATGGTAACCAATTAGCATCCACCTTTCATTTTCAAAGCTTCCCCTCAATGTATTTATCCCAAATACTAATTATTTAATAAGATTTACAATTGACCAATCATACAAAATATGCCCTATAGTTGGGCAGTGCGGGTCCAATAGGAGATGGTGCATTGACTGAATAGGGTGACAATGAGAAGGGCTGCAATCAAGTTGTTCCTTGATTGAATGAATGCAGGGGAGGGTTGGATAGATTGAGCTTGTTGGGAGTAAAAAATGAAGCAGACTTTGAGGAATGTGGCCTAAAGATGATAGAGTTCATGGTGGTTCACAGATGGTATAGGAAATGATATGGCATGGGACTTTGTAGAGTTTATCACGATGCTAAAGGGTGTGGTAGGAACAATGGTTTAAATTGCATTGTGTTGGTGCTGGGTGTTTGAGGAAACTACCACAACTGGGAGATAGAGATCATTGCACTGCAGGATGTAGAAAGGCTTGGCAAAAGAGGTGGGTTAGGCATGGAGTGGGGCAGAAAGACAGATAATGACCCCATAAATGTAAGGACTGTACATGCATAGACTGCATTTTTATAAGGAGAGGAGGAGAGATGCAGGTTCTGTTCCATGCACAAGCAGGGAGCAGCAGCCTGTAGGTCCTTGGGTAAAGAATGACATCAGAGCTGTACATGGGTTGTGAAAAACTTTGTGCCCTGGCACATGGTGCCATGTCACTTCTAGCTTGAATGGCTAGAAATTACATGGCACCAGGCTATCTAGGCTGCTTTCAGCATAATACCAATAGGCAGAATGACTCCTGTGTACCACCTCCTGGCTATAAGTGGTAAAGTACACTGACACAACAGGTTCCATTCAATATCTCTAAGTTGATTTGGAAACAATCCCCTAAAAACATTTAAGAAGAAAAATGTCTACTGTGAAAGCAGAGCTGACACATCTTAAGAGACTCACCCGTACGTAAGTGTCCTGATGACATTTGGCCAAGTACAACATATTGTCAAGAGCCAGCATACCCGGGGGTGTCTGAATGAAATCCAGAGCTGGGTTCACATGATTCTGAAACGGTAAAATATTTTGTTATTGGTGGAGTAAATACAAAAAGTACCATCATATCATATTGCATTATGGCTTTGTGGTTAGCACTCTACCTGTACAGCCCTTTGCTTCTGTGTTCAACTGTCAACACCATCTGCATGGCGATTGCATTGTTTTCCTGCATTCATGGGGTTTTCTATGAAGTTTCCCCCCCTATTATCCAAAGCATGCTCATAGGCATCAATGACCATTTAAACTTGCAGCTTCTGCAAATCGGGGCTGCTTTTTAGTAATCGAATGTTTACCACTGATTCAATTTGCAGGAAGGGCCAATTAACATGCTGTAGATGAGGTGGTCCACTGAACCCCTTACCAGTTGTTTGCACAGCACACAGCGAGTCACTTCTGTAGTTAATTTTCAGTGACTGGCTTAAGACTTGGTAAAGCCCAAATAAGAATGCCCACACGATGATGCCTTGTGGGGGACACTCTATCCACAATACATGTTACATTAGCTAATTGGCTTGTTCAATAAGTAACATCCAACCTGGTTGTGTGAGAAACCCTTGCTCATCTCCAGCGTAAGTGAGGTAGGAACCTAAAATTCTAAGCCGAGAGCAGGATATGCGAGTGTTACCTGTAAGATTGAAACCACATCTTCCAGGATTGTTGATCTTCTGGGTCCTCCCCAGTTCTCACTGGTTTCTCCTGCTAACCTATACATCACTGCTGAGCCCTGTAGTGACACGGAGGTCAGCAGGAGGAACCAGCAAGTGCCGTAGAGGCCCCAAGAGATCAGCACTCTATAAGGGTATATTTACTAGGAGACTTTTGCGATGATGGACTGGCAAATTCAATCAGACACCGTCATCAATACTTTTACCTTCACCAAGTTTCACACAGAACTGGCCCACGTATGCACATGTACGTAGGGGTGTAACTACAAATCATGGGGCCCCTTAGCAAAATTTTGAGGCCTCCTGGCTAGCTCTCTCTGTAGCGGCCGGCAGTGTCAATGTGATAATGAGTGTCATTGATCTTAATATCAAATATGTATGAAGGACAGGCTGCAGGAGAGATGTCAGCATAGTCAGTGCACTACTACGGAGCAGTGCTGGGGGTAAACGTTATGGCAGCATTCATAACCATAATGATATTTTATATTATGATAAAATGATTGATCTTCTTGCACACACTTTTCAACCTCGTCTATAAACTCTAGCTTTATTAAACTTTTTTGAAGAACTACAAACCTCAGCCCTCCTATTGGGGTTTAACAAAGATGAGTATGTAGCAGAGGTTCAGAGGAAAATAAATCTACACTGCTAGATAGATAAGCAAATGGTTCTACTGCAGGAAGGGGATCTGTGACTAGACGATCCTGAGCTCTGACTTCAGCCTTTCTATACTGGAAACCTAATATAGTGTAGTTTTCCTAATCAGCCCTCCTAATGGGCCCCCTCCTACCCCAGGCCCCTATAGCAGCCATCAATCACAAGGGAGAGCGTTCCCTCATAATTGTCCCCTTGTTGGCCACAAATACTGATGAATCTATCTCACTAGCAACCGAGCAACTAGGGAGCAACATCTTACTCAGGGAGTATTTCCATAGAATCAGCAGGCAATCTTTTAACGATCCTGACACTAAAATGCTGCCCGCCAGCGTGAAGATTCCCTGTGTGACATCAGCCTTAGTACACTTAGTAGAAAACTGGGCACTATGTCAGCACAATATAAACCAATATAACATGGATGAAACATTCCCGGGGGTTGGAAGTGAATTCAATCTATTCCTATTCATTTCACGAGGGGCCACAGGAAGAAAAACGAATTATACTTTCCAATGAGCCTACTCTATGAAGTGGAGATTTTGTTCCTGTATTGAACCTTGGGCTGAGCGGGCAAACATCTACAATTCCTGCATACTATTAGTCACACTGTTACCATGGTAATAGTCTAAGAATGAGGAAAATGGCAAATTAAAATGTTAACACATGGCCGCAGTAACAAGACATGGAACGGTAAATTGTGATAAAACTACTGTTACAAAACTGTAACACTAAATGAAACATCGGCACTTTGTAATCATTAACCAGTTGACATGCAGTGCCGTCCGGCCGTTTTTTTACAACGGGCGGACGGCAAGTGGTTAAAGAGATGTTTTTATAAACCTGTCAAAAGAACATGAATAATGGCACATTTCTACTGTTATACGTGACTAAAGGGTTATTCCTGGTGAATGGCATGGATTATTAACAGTGTATACTCCAATGAGGTCACTCCTATAGGGCACTCACCTACAGGTCTGCCATATAAAAGTGGCATTAACCAGAAGCAGAGCCAAAGGAAATCTCACCGCTCCAGTAGTATTGTCTGCAGTATTGGAATTCTCTGGATAGTGCGGTCTGTTCGTATTACCCAGAAGCACTTTCACTGATCGGAGAATGTAATCTGCATACATTTCTCTAGGTACACTACTTAGTATAGCTATTGACTCTGCAAACAATTGGCGACTTCTGCGCACTGTGCGCGTCAGCATGCGCTGACCCCGCTCTGTCATTTTATGTGGCCTACCACTTCATGGCTGAGTTGCTGTTGTTCCCAGTTGCTTCCACTTTGTTATAATACCACCAACAGTTGACCGTGGAATATTTAGTAGCAAGGAATTTGATGGAACACCTGAATCCAATGATTTGGAGGGGTGTCCCAATACTTTTGATAATATAGTGTAGCTCAAGAGCACAATTGGAAGACAGGGACAGATCACTGTCACTATATGACAGGAAGTGCCTGAATGTGAGCTTTCATGGCTGGCTCAATAATAAATCCAGATCAAACAAATATACATTGCCCGGCAAAGTATTTCTTTACATTTTTGCCCAAACACTTAGTCATCATGTTTCCAAACAGTTCCAACTCTCTATGCTTGGTTTCCCTGAACTTCCTGTCCAGTACAAGGTCACAAGGGACAGAGCAGTCTCTAGCAGCCTTCCATTTACTATCTTGGAGAAGGGAGGAAGGAGGAGAGGGGGTAGTGGATTGTCCTGCTGTGCCTGTGTATTTGTGGAGCCACCCTAAAACAGGACATCATGGCCAGTGCTCAGGGGACCAGCTGATTCTACAGGAAGCTAAAGCTTTTAAACATCAAGGAGCAGCATCCATTGTACGGGATTTCATCAGCATTTGTGATTCAATCAGCAAATGCGATCGCTGCATAAAATAGAGGCAGTAAACTCACAGTGAAGCCCAGCATCTTGTAGTCCTTGCTGTACATGGCTTTGCGCTTTTCTGTCCCAGTGCCTGACACTCCGCTGCCGTCCGTCTCTGCATCAAATGCAATTCTTCTTAATTCAAATATGATGTCTCTCTGGGCCTGAAGAAGTAGAAAAAGCAAAGGTTATATAAAAGTAATTTTCTGGCTTGTTCAAAAAGCTATATCGGCAGTAACCCAGAATAACCAAATGAGAATGCATCGTTTACTCAACTGACTTTTGCAAGGTAAGATCTGATTGGTTGGTATGGGTTACAGGCAGCACTATAAAACTGGGCACTGCACTTTGGTCCTTTTTATTGGATTGTTCACACACTTCCATTTGCCTGCAGTAAGATGCATTGGATGTAGAAATCACATTCACTAGCATGTAGCCAGTTTACATCTACATGTTTCAGCTTTGTGCTTTTCTTAAACAAATAAGACGGAATAGTTTTGTGCATTTATGCCCAATAACATGAGCCTGTGCTTTACAGATGCAGAGCAAAGCAACAGGTTCATGATCCTCTGCAACTGCACACACATACCTTCCCATAGCTCTATTTGGACACCAGGAGCAAAGAGAAATACCCAATACTGCCACTATGGGGGAGCATGCGAATCACCCCTCCACTAACCCGACTTGGTGACAGGATAATGAGCATGAACCTGGGAGTGCTCAAGAGTGAGCACTTTCGGTTTCATTCACTGCAAAGGAGATCGGAGAGTGGGAGTTCACCCATCTCCTCCACTCGGTCATTTGATTCTGCTACCCATCTTGATCAGGGCTGCAGATGGCATCAGCATGGTTAGGACACCAGCGAGCAGCATGACAACTAGTTAAAGCAGGGGGATGCGACCAAAGCCTGTACCGCTAGAGAGGTAAGGCGATCAGATTCTGGAGAGTTGTTCCACATGTTATGGGTGGCATGTTTATCAATATCAAGGTATCTGGGCACCTAAACAATAAAGTGACCATAACTTTAGTTTGAGAAAATGCAGCCAATGTAAGCCCTACTGACTTTGCATGCTGTAAACAATCCTATTCTCAAGAAATACATAAGTCGCTGGCAAGTAAAGGGTTAAAGCTGATTCAGGCGGATATAGAAGACACAAATGAATTTCCCTCTCAAGTAACCGATGAGAGGAGGGTCAAGGCCTCGTGTTGTGGTAATGCACAATCCAAAGTGCGGTACATTGTAGTGCTATTCAATGAGGTCTCCTGTCCTGCAAGACTGGTATGTGCTGTGCTACAGAGCTGTATAAATCGTAGAACTGGGCAGACAGATATATAAATCCTTTGGTAGGTAAAACAGCTCCCTTATAGTGTTATTCAGAGCAGCTGATCAGATCTTTCCTCGAGAGCTAGAATCTGATTGGCAGTTACAGTCGTACATTCCTAAGTTTGCAGTCGGTTTTCAGTCACACCAGTTCAGAGGTGAATAAATGGATGCGTGTGTCACCTGGTCATTGGGGTCCATTTTGGTCATCATCCGTTCCTCTAGGAGGTTAAAGGTTAGCACTTGGAGCACATAGAGCTGATGTGCCATCTCCGTTTTAATGGGTCGATTTCCTCGGATAATATGCTGGAGAAACAGAACAGAGAGGTGAGGCACTGAAATGGCATATACTGTATTTTAAAAGAGGACCTGTCATACCCATAACGACTAATGCTAAATGCTATATGTTGCAGAAACACAGACTAGGATGGGGTTTTTTTTAAGTATGGAGATTCCACAGAATTTTTTAAGGGGTTGAAGTCAAACTCCAATCTATGTACAAAAAGCCATGTAATGATGGCACACTTACCTGGCTTAAATCAATCATTTAAAAATATGATTTCAACAAAAAAATAATCTACATGAAAATCTTTGCAATGGAAGCTTGTAGAGACCTCATATCTGAAGACGATATGTGTTTGTATGCTCTTTCCAAGATGCCCCAAGCTAGCCTGGCTGAGCAATTGGCTGAGATTTTCCTGGCCAATCCCTATTTTCCACCCAAGAAAAGCTTCTCTTTCAGGGCTACATAGCTACAAATATTCATATTCTGTAGGTAATGTGGTAGCTTGTGATCTGAACTTCCAGACTCCATGTTAAACTAGGGTGGGCATTTACCATTTATCAGTCTGTAGGCCCTTACTTTCACGCCTGAACATTCTCAAAGAGCAATCAGTGTGGATGGAATTAACCAGCCAACTGCATTTTCTTGCCAGAGGTATACCATCATCTTCAGTTCTTCCCCTCTTCTATCTAAAGCTGGTGATACACTGTTCTGTTTTTTTCCCCCACTCTAACAATGCTTACAAGCTTTGATGGAGGAATTGCTATATCACCTGTACTGCGCTATGCCATCAATTATTATACAACTAACTATACATCAATCTGTGCATAATTAGCAACAACCATATACATCGGACTGTATGTTCACAATTAATTTCAGCGCAATCCTATACATTAAACCTTACAAAAAGTGCAAAATCTCATGTGTCTTTTATGCAATCACCCTTATATGTAAAAAGTCCAAAGCCACAAATAAACAGATAACATGTGTCTTCAATCTTCAATCCCAAGTGTCACCGTGCTCTTTGTTTCTTTATAGTGCACTCACAATCCCAAGTTATCACTGTGGTCCTGATTTCTCTCTAATGTACTTCACCAGATGGTCATTAAAAAGGAGAATTATGAGGTGAGCGATTTTCACTCAGCCTCATAATCTGAGCCGACCTGTGACAATGAAACTGTCACAGGTCGGCTCAGTAGATCGGGAAGTGAGCGAACACATACAGTCGCTCGCTCACTTCTCGATCTATCCGCGCAGAGAGCCGTGACTGTCACTCACGGCTCCCTGCAGGGATTTCCCCCCTCCCCTGTCCGATCCTCCAGCGCTGACTGGTGGAACGGACGGGGGAGGGGGCGTACACAGCTGGCTCTGCCTCTGGATAGGCAGAGCCAGCTGTCAATCCCGCAGCTGGGTGGATCCAGCTGTAGCTCGCGGTATACTGAGCTTTGGGTCACGGGAGAACGCTAGTTTGTGTTCTCCCGTGACCCTTAGGAGAACTATGGGGAAAAGTCCCTGACCCCATAGTTCTCATTTAATATCTTGTTGTATTAAAAGGAACCCTGATTACATTTTCTCATTTCCAGACATAGCTTGTTAGAATAACTTTAGCCTTTTAAGCGCAATCTTGCTGTTGGTGGAAAGAAGCTACTGACGGAGAATTGAATAGAGAGTGGAAGGAAAGAAGGCTAAAGTTATTCTAAAAAGCTATGTCTGGGACTTGCTGTGCAACTTTTGGCCAGTTCTTCAGGAACAAGAATTTGCATAATGTATGACCAGGGTTAAGGCACAAACAATAGTTTCTTAGAACAAAACTTTTGGCGACCAGATCATGAACAGCTGGCCACCATCTTGTATCTGTAGGCACTTTTAGCCTTCAATTTGAAAAGAAGAGCAACCCATTTAGAAACGCAGAGCATGCCTAAAGAATTTGCAGACATTCTCCAGTAAACATAATACCGCTCTTTTACTTACATTGAGTATGATAGAACGGAGGTGCTTCTGTACAAATATGTTTGCCATCTCCTGTACCAGAAAGAGAGTACAATTATGTGTGAGTCACACAAAGCGGCAAAAAAAGGATACAATTAAGAAGAGGAGGAAAGCTAGGACAAACTGAGGAAGAGCATCACTACATCAGGTGGAGGAGTCCAAGTGTGAGAAACAGGAGGACAACAGAAACTCCCAAACTAGGCCCTCCCATGGTACTCACACTAACGGGAAGATCCAAGATATTCGGAGGCTTCTCCTGAGTGCACAACGCACACAAACAGAAGCAAAGATGGGAGTTAATAGCAGACAGAAAACCAGCAGGACATAAGGTGTTAGTCGCACAAAAACACGCACACAAGGACACAACGTTACACACTGTAGCCTAATGTAAAATAACTTGGACGTGGGGTACACACCTGGCGCTTGTCCTCGGGAGCTTTCAGAAACAGCGCATTGATGAGAGCAATGGCGTAAGTCTGGATTTCCTGGTTACAACTGAGAGACAAAAGGATAAGATCGCAGAATGTTTCAGAATCGCAACAGAAGTTAAAAATCGTATTAGTTACTTTGGGGATTACCTTCAGTTACCATCTGCGTAGAATCTGAAAAGGTGGCATTTACTGTAAACTCAAATAGACATGGCCTACCTGCTGAAAGGTTCGCTTGGGTTTCTGACAGCTAAATCCCTACAGCTGTCAATATGATTAAAGTGACACTAAACTCAGGATTTAAACCTTAAAAATGCATTCAAGTACCATAACTATTAACAAAAATGTATCTTATTTTTGTATCACTCAGCTGTAGATCCTCAAATCATCTCTGAATTGGTGCTGACACTGTCCTTACTTCTGGAGGGGGGCTACTTTTGTTCCACATGGTCCCTGTGTGTGTTGTAAAGTAGCCACCGCTCCAAGCTCACTCCCGTGATGGACTACAATCTCACTACAAATTAGTAAACAAACGCGAGATTGGAATACATCACAGGAGCAAGATTGGAGTGGTGGCTACTTTACAACCACACACTGGGTGCATGGGGAACAAAAGTAGCCACCCTCCAGAAGGAAGGACAGAAGACAGCGCCTCCTGCCTGGCGGTCGAGTGTCGGGGGAAATCCCTCCTTCTGCAGAGTAGCACTGAAGAAGGGGGATTTCCCCTGAAACGTCAGCCCTCCAGGTTTTTCCTGGGTGTGTGTACATCTACATTGCTCTTTTCCACTTTGTACATGTGAGTAGTTTTATCACTTCTCAATTTTGGATTGTTAATAAATGTTATTACACGAGGAGGAGCAGGCACTGTCTTCTGTGTATTTGTATATTTATGAGGATACATCCCAATTAGCCTTGTGGATGACAGCCTCTCCTAAAGTTTTCTGCATTGAAGACTGCTGATGAGAGTACAGCCTAGGTGCGCCGAGCACTGGGAGTGTGAATTTTTTATGAATTCAGAGATGATTTGAGGATCTACAGCCGAGTGATACACAAAAAAAGATACATTTCTGTTAATAGTTAAGGTACTTAAATGCATTTTTAAGGTTTAACTCTTGAGTTTAGTGTCACTTTAAAGCCTCATGCCCACTGGGATTTCTGTTCGCCTGGGGATTCCTGCGGCACAAATCTACGGATTCTTGCAGCAGGAATCCCAGGGATGTCAGGTGTAACCACTTTGCCCATTTAAGTGAATGACAGGCTGACAGCGGTCGCATCTGTCCGCAAGTAATCGTACGCGGAACGATTACCTGCACATCAGGATACATGCTTGTCCCTGGATGCAATCTGAAGAAGAAGTCGTCACTCCACAGATCCTTTCACTTGTGAGTGTGAATTTTAGCTTGAGCTATTGAGCTCTATAAACAATGAGGCTTTTCACGGCGGAAGATAACAGAGGAGCCTAAATCCCCATGGATATAAAAATACAAATGTTTATATGCAAGATTTTATATCTATCTGAATAAAAACATTTTTTTTTAGATGTAATATCTTTTTTTTTTTAAATGACGAAACTGCTATACATTCCTGTTAAACAGGTGAAGAACGGAGCGACTTACACTTGCAGGTGACAAATGAGCTGACCCACTGTGATTTCCTCAGCTATTTTATGGTACAGGGCCTGGCTGTTTAGCACCATACTTTCTAGGATTGCCAAGGACCTCTGGAGAATGGAGACATCCACTGCTGGCTGAGACACGTATCCAGCAATCTAGGGGGAAACAGAAGAGTCAGGACAGTTAATGGGCCCACCTGGAATTATATATTCAGTAATTCAGACCACTAAGTTCTAGCTTACAGGAGTCTCTGATAATTTTAAAGAGGAACTGTAATCAGGATATCATCATACTAGTTCAGTATAGTGTATTGCATTTTAGAAAATATTTTGAAATATTGTTTAAAAGAATCCTAATCTATGTACTGTATTTATATACAGAAGAGTCACCAGAACACTGACTGAGATATAACTTTATTGGCGCAAGTCAAATCATATCACAAAGCAACTGATGTTTCAGGGCCGCAAAGGGTCCCTTCATCAGGCAATCACATTTTTTTGCCTGATGAAGGCACTCTTTGCGGCCCCAATCATTGTTCGCTTTGTAGTATGACTGACTTGCACCAATAAAGGACGAAGTTATGTCACAGTAGGTGTGCCGGTGACTGTCCTCTAACATTGCTTGCTATTGAGGCGCCATCCACTAGTCACTGCAGCGCCCGTCACAAGCAGTGGGATTTACCTGTCAGGAGTGTGATGGGACACATGCAATACAAAACCTGTCTGGCGCACACAAAAGCCCATTGATACTGGCCCTAATACACATGGTCCACTGGGTTCAATAAAGGGAGAAACTTGCTGACCTGCTTTATGAAGGTGAGTGACACCATGTCCCAGGAGACAATACCATGATCCATTAACTCCAGGAAGGCTGTCAGTGTGAAGGCCAGCATCTCACTGTAACTGCAAGGAAACGAGAATAGTAATTTAACCATTGTCATTATATCAGTAAAACAAATACAAGACCCATGCAATCATATCTCCCTCTGCCATTCTGATGTACAGCAGGTTACAGGAAGCTAATATTAAAGACATATTCAAGTACTTGTACCAGCTTTATGTCAAAATACTGTTAATCAATTTTAATGAATATATAACTAAATTAAAATGCATTTTTTATATTTTGAGTTTGGCTTTAACCTACGGTTAAAAAAATGGACCTAAAAAAACGTAAATTGTATGTAAACCCCATCAATGATTTCCTATTGTTTGCAACCCTTTGGTCTGATAAATATGCCTTTACAAATGTTTTGTTGTACCTATTTGATGCAAACAAAAACCTGTTGATCGTGTCAGAAATTCAGAGCTGCCCTGTGCACACTCCCGGTGTTATCTCAAGCAATCAAAATAGCCCTCCCAGTTCTTATCGTGGACTACAAAATAATAAGAGTGTATATTATAGATCAGTGGTTCTCAGTCTGTGTAACCTCAGGACCCACATTTGCCCTTGGTCATCAGGTCGCACTGGAATGCACGGCATTTTGGTACTGCATGTTCCGGTGTGAGCAATCAAACTGTGGGCGGGAGGTGCATTTGGGGTGCCATTCAAATGAATGGCAATGCACCTCCTGCACCAGAACGCAGGTAGGTGCGATTGCGTGGTACAGTGCGCTAATCGCTCGGGAATGTGTGATTAACACACACATAAAGACGCCAAAACATTTTTTTCTTTTTTAAGATCCACCTAATCTCCCTACCTTACAGGAACTGGAGTGGATCCTCAGCCTGGGGTGTGGCCTGCTGTGATGGAGCTCCATCCACATGTGCATTGCTTGTACAGCTCCCTTGCGCACCCCTTATAGGTGCTGGAAGCCAGAATGTGACGTCACTCCGGTCCAGGCACCTCTACAGGGCAACCGAGGGAGCTGTAAGCAATGCACGTATGGATGGAGCTCCCTCACGGTCATACCCCCACCCCACCTCAAGCTGACACTCGGCGCCAGTCAGCATATTTTGAATGGCGTGAGAACTGACAGTGCTGTGCTATGGGGAGGCTGAGGAGCCCCTCGCCTAATGCAGTGGAAGGCGCGTGGCAACCCACTGAACACAGTGTCGCGACCCACCAGTTGAGAACCACAGTTATAGAAATAAGGAGAGTGGGAGGGTTTAAGTAGCTTAGCAAAAGATAACTGGGCAGGGCTGACACAACCCAGTCCACAAAAATGCTGTGTGCTATCATCCCACCAACAGACTTTAGGAGTGGAATGCATTTCTGGCACATGAACAGGTATTTTTCTTTAATCGCAGGCTTTTTAAAAGGGATAAATCATATGCATGCATGCATGCTAAAGACATACTTGCTGTGTTTTTTTATTTTCCTCTAATAGACATTTTAAACCATTTCATCCCCACACAGCTACCTCCTCATGTATCAATTGCCCCTCCCTTTTAGATTGTAAGCTCTCACTGGCAGGGCCTTCCTTACTATCTTGTCTTGAATTGTATTGTGATTGTAATGTCTTCCTTATATTGTACAGCTCTGCGCAAACTGTTGGCGCTATATAAATCCTGTATAATAATAATAATAAACCAAAAAAGTCCTAGAAAGCTTTAGAAAAATGTGGTACTGACTGTGACAAGAGCTTTGTGCCGCCTTCAACCAGTCGGGTAAGGATTGTCACTCCATCCATATTGATGAATTCGGTTGCAAAAGTAGTGTCTGCAGAAAGCTTAGCCAGTTCCTTCATTGCCTCCAGCCTGGAGTCCATACTGGAGCACTGAATCCGTTCCAGAAGCTGCCGTGCTGCGCGGGACTGACAGGAAAGTGAAACCATATTTAATCACAAAAGGCAAAGACAAGTCTACAGAAGAGTAGAGAAAAGGCACGTTATCAACGAAGGACCAATTTAAAGGTGGTAAATAGAGAGATGCTTGCGTTACCCATAGCAACCGATCCGATCATAACTTTTGTAAAACAAGGTGAAATCTAATTATCACTGCAGATGAAATGGGTTCTCTTCCTTTTAAACAGATGTCATAAGAGAAGGACTGCACATGGGTGGCCACAGCTAGAATATTCCAGCTAGGATTTTCTGCTCTAGCGCAAGCCACTGACATGAACACAGGCAGCCTATGGGTTACTATGGACAACATAAACATACACTTCCTTGTAATTCTATAGCAAGCATACATCATTATTCATATTTACAAGGCTGAGGAAGTGTCGGTAAGAAGCACAAAGGTGACATACTACTTACAGGGGACACAGCCAAACGTAATATGGTTCCATTCTTTATGTCACCACGAGTCTGAAAAAAACCAAAAAACTACTAAACATGGAGATATGGGCCAAACATGCAAATACAATAATAAGCTATTTATTTCATAATGGCTGCACAGTGATGACTTGCTCACCTGCTCAGTTATGTACAGCTGGGGGCCGTCTGCATAACGGAACGCGTAATACTCAGAGTTGGGTAAGGACCACCTAAGACAAAGAGGAAAACAAGACATATTTTATTGTAATGTACCATGCCAAAGCAGCAGGCAGGTACCACCAATAGAATACAAAGCCTTTGTAGCCGGAAGTATTTTATTCCCCACTTCTTTCAGCAATATCAACAACTTAAAGAAGAACTCTGGGCAGAAGAAAACTTAAAGTGACATTAAAGTCAAAGGAGAACTATGGGGTCAGTGTTTTTCCCCATAGTTCTCCTAAGGGTCACGGGTTGTGTGTGTGAGAGAGGGGGGGGGGGGGGGGGGGAATCCCTGCAGGGAGCCGTGAGTGACAGCCACTTCTCTCTGCAGGGACATGATCGAGAAGTGAGCTAGTGACAATATGTGCTCGCTCCCTTCCCGATCTATTGAGCCGGTGTGTGACAGTTTCATTGTCACACGTCGGCTCGAACTATGAGGATGAGTGAAAATCATTCACCTCATAGTTCTCCTTAAAAATTTCCAATCCTGCTTTAAGGACTTAGCTTAAATGATGCCTCTTAATCCGATCTTCTTCTTTCCTGTAGTTTTTAGCTGTCCCTCCAGTGTTGGTGCGGGTCTCTGATCCAGCTCTGACTCCTCTGTCCTCCTCTTCTCTGATGTCCCACAGTGTCTGTGCGGGTGAACGCTGCTCCATATACTTACCTTGTGTCTCTCCTCATCTCCCGGCCGAACATCTGAACTGCGCATGCGTCCGCCCCAAGATCCTTTGCGGCCGCCCAAGAAATTTTCAGATGTTCGGACGGGAGCACGCGGCAGAGACATAGGTAAGTTTAACCAATTGAAAAAGTTTTTTTTTTTTTTTTTTTATCGGTTTGCATATCTACTGCTTGCTAGCAATAGATATATTCAAAAACATGCAAGGGTTTAAAGGAGAACTATGAGGTGAGTGCTTTTCACTCGCCTCATAGTTCTAGCCGACCTGTGACAATGAGACTGTCACAGGTCGGCTTAGTAGATCGGGAGGTAAGCGAACACATACCGGCGCTTTCGGGGCCTCAGAATTTGAATGGCAATGTGCCAATAAATGGACTATTGCTTTATTACACTTTGGAGTGCTGATGACATTATTTTTCTTTCTGATTCTATCACGGTGCCATCCGTGGTCACTACAAGCACCCACTCGGCTATATGGGTCTTTTCTTTTCGGTAAGGAGTGCAGCAAGATCTCTTGATTTCTGCACCGAACTGAAATGTCGCAAAACTTTTTCAACCTTACCAGCAATCTTCTGTAAACTACAGAGCAATGTCCCTTTATTTAATGGAGATAAGAAGAGGAGGAAGAGGTGTATGTAGTCCAAAGCAGGAGTACAGCCTAGGTTGACACTCTTAGGACAGATGGAATCACCAGATGAAAAGAAGGGGAAAAAAAGCTGGAAAGAAAACAAATGCAGCCACCACATCTAAGGACTTCTAAGCTGCAGTATAATACATTTTTGGGCTTAGACAGGCTTTAACCAGTAAAACAAGAAATCCGGTAGATCCCACCGCTGGCTTGGTGGTGCAGGCTGTGCGGCGTCACCCTCATCCTGATTACATCCTATGTAGTCAGTCACAGGCCTAGAGCAAGCATGCAGCCAGTGAGGTCTCAAAAGTCTGCATGCTTTTCCTGGGTGAGTCGCTCACTTGGTTATATGGCCACAATCAGGATGACAGCTCTGGAACCGGGAACCTTTAGAAAACAAGCCAGCAAATGGCAGCTTCCATATTTCTAACGTCTCAGCATCCCTTTAAGAGGTTAATTAGAAGCATTTGATTCAATTACATCTGTAAACCGCAAACAATTCAGAAGAACACAATTCGTACATGAAAATAAAAAAACATACGCGCTGTACAGTGTATTCTACAGAAATACTTGTGGGTGGATCTCAAGAGCTCTTCTACCCTTTCCTCCCACGCACAGCTAATCAACGCCGACTGTACACTTATTATAAAAACCGGGAGTCACTTCAATAAGACAAAGGACTAACCAGCAACTCTACTCTAAAGAGACCCTGTCACCAACTTAGAAAAGCTGAAGGTAAAAGCGCAGAAAAAAACGAAATGCGTACTTGCAGTGTTTTTTTTTCCTTTCCGTAAATGATTTTTATTCACTTGCAATGTTCCTTTAACCACACTAGTAAATCTGACTACTCCAGTAAGAGTCAATTCCACTTTATATATACACAGGGGAAGGAAGGTATCAGAGATAGTATTATGTAAAAAATATATAGATCGGTGGCAGGTCTCCTATCTATATTAACAAAAAAGCACCACATGTCCCCTTTAAAGGAGATCTCACCATTCATTCAATACTGCAACTCTGTATTATGTATACAATTTATTAAATTTATTCACATATAAACATATAATATAACACATAAAGCTTGCAAAATGGTGTAAATAGTATAATCTGTAACCTCGGTTAGCTGTAGATAAAAAAGATTTGTGTAGATCCCTTATACATCCGAATCCAAAAGATCCAATGACAAGGTATGTGTAGCGAGATCGTGTCACCGCAAACGCGAAGAGAAAAAAATCATCAATCAAGGCAATCGTTTGTATCGGAGTAAACTCCAATGTAAAACATTGATGAGCAGATGTATTATATTGTATGTTTATATGTTAATAAATGTAATTATTTTTATACATAATACAGAGTTGCGGTATTGAATGAGTGGTGAGATCTCCTTTAAAGGGGACATGTGGTGCTTTTTTGAAGAGTCAATTCCTTAGTACAGCTCCCTCCATTTCCTGCATGTGATAGGTCCCTGCTCTGCTGGAAGCGTCTGATTACTGCTTGTGCTGACCCAGCTCCTCCAGCCCTCCCTTCACCTTGCTACGTAACATTTTATGTATCTGCCAGTGAAGGTGAATACTATGGAGTGTCACTTGTGTGAGCTCTAACGCCTGAGTCACACCATGGTGTGCCTGGAACACGTGTCATGTGCGTGTGCGTTTGAGTGCTGCATTTGCAAACGCAGTCAAAAACCTCACGTAGCAAATTTTTTGACATGCGCTCTCCGTCTGTGGGCATTTTAACTAGAGGTGCACCGAAATGAAAATTTTAAAACTGAAACAAAACCAAAATGAAAAAAAAAGTCAGGCCGAAACCGATAATGTTTTTTTCTTTTTCTTTATAAACTTTAAAAATGTTTTATATTTTATTTTTATTAAATATTTGTAACTTTACTTTTAGGGTCTTCAGGGAAATATTAGGGGTCTATACAGACCCCTAATATTTCCCTTTTAAAAAAGAAAAAGAGATTGCGAACACAGAGTCCTCAATCTCTTTTTCTGTATCCCCTGTTATAAACGAACAGGAATCCTCTATACGGAGTGCTCCTGTTCATTCATAACATGAGAACATTGTGTGTTTCCTATAACCACAATCATGAATGGACAGGAAGTGATGTAGATCACTTCCCATTCATTCATAATTGAGGATATAGTAACCATACTCTGTCCTCAATTATGTACAAACACTCAGCGATCATTGACTGCTTGTACTTGCTCTCCATCCTCACACGCTGTCACAGGAGGCTGGGTGCGGCGGTGCGGGAGGAGAGATCAGCCTCCTGAGACAGTGCTGGCTGTCTCCGCCCACACCGCTCTCCCGATCTGTGACAGGAGGCTGAGCGGTGCGGGGAGGAGGAGAGACGCCGGCCACTCGCAGCGCTCTCCTCCCGCAGCGCTTGGCCGCCTGCCACAGTTTTTCTCCTCCCCGCTGGGACACAAGAGCACGGATGCACCGCTAGATCGGCAGAAAAATTGCACTTTCGGCATTTGGCCTTGCAAATGAAAGGTCAAAGCTGATTGGTTAACATTGGCAACTGCTCTAGATTCTGTCTGCCCCAGTCTTGATAAATTCCCCTCACAGTAGGTAAAACAGCCCTCCATTTATGTATTTCGTCCATGTAATCAGCTGTTTGCTTGGAGTTCAGTTTTAAGCATATGCATCTCATTTATTCAGTATCATCAATTAACTAACACTGGCAATTAATCAATGTGTGCTTGCCAGCGTGGCTTGATTTTTTTTTTACGATGCTGGAGAATTTCCCAGCATGTCATTTCCTGTTATGACATCGGCATTGTAATAGGAATACATTCTAGAGTTGTTTTTCATAATGTAATCAAAGCTTACTCGAAGAAAATCCCTTTTTATGTAGTGAGTGCTGCCTTCTGTCTGCCCATCACTTCCAACAACTACCTGGATTCCCAGTGTGCTTTGCATCCCTTTCCCTGCTGCTTAATGTGATGTAATCTCAATTTCAAAAGACTACATATCCCATAATTCATTGCTTCCAGAATGCAATGATAATGGTACATTAATCGGATATTGAGTTCAGAAGGCAGGCTCTGTGACAGTAGTGACATAAGGAAGTTCATATTCACAGAGCTAAGCTGTGTTAGTCCATTGAGGAAGCACATCCTATGGGCATCTACAATAAGTTTAGAAACTTCTAGATGGACAAGTGCGGCTTTCATTCATTGGTGTGCAGTTTCCCTTTAAACCTAAAAATCTGAGACGTTTATTGAACGGGCTTTAAATTCTTGAATGTGCTCTGCATGTTGATTCAGACATATGGTGATCACATTGGTACACTTACCCATCACAAACCTCCTTGATGATGGAAGCCAGTGGCCGTTTCTGTAGACAAATGGTTTAACATGAGAGAAGGTCAGAGCACGGCAATAGAGAAGGCAAGACTTTCATATCAGAAGCCCCCTTTCCCATCAGAGCCCCCACCCCATACACATCAGAATGCCCCTCTTCACATCATAGTCTCCCCTTTCATATCAGAAACCCCCTTCCCACCAGATTATCCCCCGCTTTCCCATCAGACCCCCCCACCCCTTACACATCAGAATGCCGCTCTTCACATCAGGAGCCCTTCATTTACATCGGAATCCCCCTTTCAGCATCAGTCCTATCTTCTGATCTTCCCCACTTGGGGCAGGTCTTGACATGGGCAGACTCCTGCCCTCTTCCGAATGCTTGAGGAGGTCCTGGATGTAAACCCCCCCCATTGTGCTGGTGGCTGGCTCATCTGCTCTGTGGAAATGCATGACACTGTGCGGAAATTTGAAGGCACCCCAGTGTGCCACGGGCACCCTGGTTGAGAAAGTCTGTGCTAAGTGAACTAATCATTTGCCCAAAATGTAGAAGCCCCAAGCGTTTGGCTGTGGCCTAGATTGGGTGGGCTTGGCCAAACAAAAGGCATGAAAAATCCCAGCCCCTTGTTCTTGTAGTAATCATATGGTGGTGGAAGCAAGTCTGATGGGGGCTCCCTGGCTGGGATATTACTTATTGTCTAGGTCTACTGATGAACAGTCCCCTTGTGTCCAGTGGTGATGGTTTTCAGCCCCCCTGTATCTAGCAGAAAAATATAGAGATAAATGACACATTTAACTGACCAATTAGAATACATATGCAATCTTTAAAGTCACTTCAGGTTGCTTCCTTTGGCCTTTGGCTAATTCTTACATTGAGCTTCATGGAGAGCAAAGCTATCTCTTCAGTTTGCAAATGTAATCTACTAACAAATATTTTTCATTCAACCATACATTTTCCCTTTTCCACTAATGAGTAACATCAATCAACAGTGACAGTCAGCCTCCCTGTGTCCTGCAGTGCTGGTTGTTCTTCTCTTCGTGTCTGCAAGTAGTCATTCTCCCACACCCAGTGATAGAACTTCACTTCTCATATGTAGATGGTTACTCACCTCACACCAAGTGGTGGTCTTCCATTTCTCCTTGTGGTAACCACCTTCCCCACCTAATGGTCATCACCCTACCCTCCCCCTCCAGCCAGAGATGGTCACCCATCCCCAACAAGGTGTTCATTACCCAGGCCCTCAACCAGTGGTGGTCACCTTCCCCTATCCCCAGCCAGGGGTGGTCACCCACCTCTAAAAATGTGGTCATCACCCTGTCCCTCAGCAACTGGAGGTCTCCTCCCACTGGCTCCAGCCAGTGGTGGTCATCCTCCCTGCACCCAGCCAGTGGTGGTCAGCCTCCCTGCACCCAGCCAGTGGTGGTCACTCTTCCCCTAGCTATGTCACCAAGCAAGGAAAGAACAGTGGCAAGTGCAACAGGGAAGTAAGCATTAGGCAGTGCCCCAACAAGTGATACAAGAATGTCCAACAAGCTTAACACCGGGAAGGTATTTCTACTACCCACAGTGATATTTGTATATCCCAGAAATGATCGCATGTTCATTTACCAGTAAACCTTTTAATTACTGCATTGTATATTTTAAAAACATGCAGACACGGCCAAATACAATAATAAAGACTTAATTTACCCCATTTTCCAGCACTTGTTTAAATTATTTAGTCCAAGACTCTTACCTGGTCAATTTCAATCAGTTGGGCATTAGCGCCAGGCCACTCAATGGCTACCTTCACAATGTCCAGCGGTGGAGGCATTTCCTCCGTTGGCTCTTCTGTCCAGCCTGCCCGCTGGAGCGCTCACAGAGGTCTACCTTTAAACAAAAATAACAAAAACACATTATTCATCCAAAAAAACTTTATAACAAAATACATTTAAAAGGACAGAATCACCACCATTATTGTCACATCTCTTTTAGTCTCTTGTGATTCCCCCAATCCAACCAATAACTGTAAAATGACGGTATATTTACTAGTGACTTGACCAGACAAACAACCCTGAACCAACTAGTCTGAGGAGAAGAATCAATTGGTAGGGATGGATATTCCAAGCCTATCGTTACTGTTTAGTCGAGGTAAAGCTACTGCTGGAAGTGTCCGCAAAAGGGCATAAACATTCATAGTTGGCTGAATCAACCAACTGCTGTTTATGAGGACCTTTATACATGCGTTTTCACCTTGGGTCCCGCATATCAAAAAAAAAAAATGACCACCAGTGGCCTAAAGTAATGTTTCTCAACTTTTTTTCAGTCGCGACAACCTTTAAAAGTATGCAAAATCTCGAGGCACCCCAGGTATGGATTTCAAGGGAGGACCCCAGGCAAAGACACAAACAAACGTGGGATTCCTACATTCACATCAGAGTCCCTCCCTCTTTTCCATCAGAGTCCCCAATTCAAATCAGGAGCCTACATCACATGAAGCCTCTTTCTTCACATGAAGAGCCCCTCTTCAAATAAGAATCACTCTTTACATCATGACCTCCCCACCCTTTCAAAAGTCCACCCTTTACATCAGGAGCCCACCTTTCACATCAGAGCATCCTGGGGATCCTTCTAGCTCCCACAGGGGTACCCCAAAATTTTCACAGGGCTGATGTGAAAAGGGTCTTCTGGTGTGAGAGGGGAGCTGGTAATGTGAATTGGGCTCCTAATGTAAAGGGAGACTCTGATGTGAAGGTGGGAACCCCACTTTGTGTTTTTGCGTGGGGTCCCTCCACTTAAAATTTCTCGGAAAAGGGTCTGGTATGGATTTTACATTTTAGATTGGGGTTCCTTTAAAATTGTCATATACTTATGGGTGCTTTGACTACAAAAAGGTCGAGAAACTCTGCTTTAGATGGCGGCAAGGCGCTCGGAAGCAAAGTTTTTGTTGCTAGAATAAAGAGGTGATTCTTTTTTTTTTTTTCTTACTTGAAATAATGTGATGTGGTAATGCTGACATGTGCCGTACTGATTAATTGAAAGCATAAATTTTAATAATAGCCCCGCCTTAAAAATAAATATGAGAGGCCTTGATATGCGTGGCAGTCATTCATTAACTTTAGGTTCCTATTATATTCTTATTACCTACATTAAGATAAAGCCACTTCCACAAATCCATTACGTTCCGTTAAAGCGAGGCATACAATTAATGTTTTTTCCTCATTCAGCCCTGCAGGGAACCTGAAAAAGCAATTGATTCCTCAATCCACAGTAAGCAGCATGGATGGGTAAATCCCCCCTGCTGTGCTATTGTAGTTTGACAGCGGCAAGTGTTCTGTTGTCAGAATACCTGAGTGCAGCCACTGTTCGGCCCAGAATTTTCAGACCGGCTTTATCGACAGTGGAACGGAGGGGTGATAACTGGGCGACACACGACTCGAACAGTGTATGGCCAGCTTGGGCATAAAAAGCAAAATGATATAAAAAACAGAAGAAAATACAGCGCAAACATGGGTGCAGCTAATCACCGTCTTTATTAATCTACATTCCAGTAACATAAATGAGCCCTGCCATACAGCCGCACGCCTCTAACATGTGTCATCGAGTAGTGTCATGTGGTCAGCCCGGAGTTGGCCTTTATACAAGATGGAAAACAGACTTCAGAAATGAAAGCAAATGGAATCCACAGATACTGAGAATCAAAGAGGAACTCCAGCCAAACACATAACTGAAATATATACACCGATCAGCCATAACATTATGACCACTGACGGGTAAGGTGAATAACATTGATTATCTGGTTACAATGGCACCTGGAAGTGGGCGGGGGGGATATATTGATGTGTTGTAAGCAAAAGAAATGAGCAACTGACAAGGGTCAAATTGTGATACTAGATGACTGGGTCAGGGCAACTTCAAAACTGCAGTTCTTGTGAGATGTTCCCGGTCTGCAGTGGTCAGGACTTACCAAAACCAAGGAAGGAAAACCGGTGAACCGGTGTCAGGGTCATGGGCGGCCAAGGCTCTCCGATGTATGAGGGGAGCGAAGGCTGGCCCGTGTAGTCCGATCTAATACAAGAGCTACTGTAGCTCAAATTGCTGAAAAATTGGAGTTACGTACCTGGTAACTCTGTTTCTAGGAACCTTCCAGGACAGCATTAGAGAGATAGGCTCCTCCCACCGGAAACACATCACCCACACCTAGAATAAAAAGAGTACAAGCCTAGCACACTTCAGTTAAAACATAAGAACCGAAGAATACCACATCACTAACTCCGTCTCATAGAAGATGTACACATACAGAATTCATACATATGTATATATATATATATATATATATACGT